CTCGTTTTCTATATATACATTCTGCATTTCATTGTTCATACGGACGAACACAGCAAACAGACGATAGAACGACAAGTAGACATACATCGTCATTCGTTTTAGATCAATTCACATATTCATTGTTATTAATAAAATGGATAATATTATTTCAACATCTCCATCTCAAATTAGTCCAAATAAAGGCAATCCACTCAATCCTCAACCAATTCCACCATTAGCTTCTGAACCAGAAACAACATCAACAATTGAAGCAATTGTTTCAACTCCATTTGAACCTACATCAACAACAATAGAATCCATAGAACAAACGAATATTGATGGAAATGTTCAAGCTCATATAGATGTTAAATATGAAGCACATGATGTTGCATTAGAATCAGTTAAAACAAATGGTCATCAAGAAAAAAATGGTTTTAAATCTAGTGAATATCATAAAATTGATATAGATGATACTGATCAACATTCATATAAATCAAAATCATGTTGTTCAATGTTAAATAAATTTTTCCTTGCATTGGCTATTGTATGTTTTATATTATTTCTTTGTAGTATTGCATACATTCTTTGTAATCATAAAGAAGTAAGTCCACTCAAGATATCTATTGTTTGTTTGATGATTGGAGTGTAAAGCTTGAAGAAAAAAGATATATATTGAGTATGTGTTTGTATGTATTGAAAGGATTCACGATTGAACGAATCACTTTTTGTGTATATAGTCTATACAAAAGCTACTTTCAAGGACAAACACACTGTGTAATTAGAGAATGTGTAGGAAAGTAACAATAGCCGTTCATTATCTTGTCTTCATCGATTGATTGAAAAGAAGTATGGCAGATATAAAACATCTGACTACTGCTGAAAGACAGACATCTTTATCAATGAGATATATCTAATTCAAAGTTGATATTCTCTATTAATTAATCAGTAAATTTAGTAATTTAAGATCGAGATGTATTTCAAATTATTATATATAATGATAGAAAATTACTTTTTTATTTTATGTTAATTCAAAGAAATTTTATGATGAGAAAGTAGAAAATTTCTATGTTGGTAATTAAGTTGAGCAGTTTATTTCATTGATATCAACAATTTCTAATGAAAAGGTGTCAAGAACACTTAAGAGAATACAATTATGAAGTATTCTTCAGAATACAAAAGAAAAATTCTGCAGTTCGTTAAAATTAATTTTTTTTTTTGAAAAATTCTATTGATGTTCTTCTTCAGAAAGTAACAAATTAGAAGAATTAAACAAAAAAATTGAATTTTATTCTAAATGAGATTAATTCTGAACTTTTACGCCTCTTAATACTTTGATGAAAAAGAAATGACTAATGATCTAGAAAATGCACCGACCCGTCCCCAGAAGATGTTACGTTTCTCACCAACAGTTGAGTTTCCCTGAAAAAAAAAAGGCTTGATAACTGATCTCTGTCCCCAGAAGGCTTTCTAAGTTCTCCACCAACGAGTGAATTTCACTTTAAAAAAGCCTTAATAGATATGATCCACGGAATAAAATCGCAACAGTTTTCTAATTATATTCCTGAAGATCATGAAGAAAAATTCTAATTTTCTTTTTTCATCTCAGATTTTATCAACAAGAAGTTGTTTACTATAATCTGATTGTCTATCTAATAGAATTTCATATTCATTAAACAATCATCTTTCATTATGTGACTATAATTGTAAAAATCAATTTTTTTTTTATATTATATTGCTAAATAAAATGCAAATTATTTAAATATTCTATTTCTATAGTTCAATGGCAAACATGGTGAACGTATTTCAACAAGAAACATTTTTCCATATTCAATGAATGATGACTCAAGTCCATCGGAAAAATTAATTGATGAATTTTATTTTAATTTAACACATCCTCGTCAAGATGGTATTATAGTTGTATTATCACGTCGTGGTGCATCCATAAATGATATATTAATTCCATATAATGATAAAAATAATTCAAAACAATATCGTTCTATAGTTATAAAAGGTGGTAATGAAAGTCATTTTGGTTCTGTACGTTTTGGTTTTGAAAATCAAACCAATACAATGAATACAACAAATCAATTACCGTCAAATTATCCATTTTTAAATCTTCACACAGAAAATTGGTCAATGCATGTTGATAAAAATCATCCACATCGTGTTCGTTTTGTTTATGAAACGATACAAATTATTTATGAATTTTCATCAGAAAATTCGAATGAATTTATGATGAAAACAATTGTTGGAACATCATTAAATAAACAAATTATTATTGATTTAACAAATAATATTTATTTTAATTTACGTAGTTATGGAAATTTGAATACGGTAAGATTGAAAATAAAAAGAAAAAATTATTTTTTTTATTTAAAATATTTTAATTAAATTCTGTTTTGTTTTAAGCATTATTTAAATTTAAGTTCATCAAATCCAATAGATATTTTAAATGGTCAAAAAGTTGAACAAGATCGATTAATTCAAGCAACACGAGTTGATATATTATTAAATATTAATAAATATTTCTATAAACTTGATCGTGCTGGTCTTGGAAAGAATTATATTGCAACGTAAAAATTTCTTTTCAAAAAAAAAAAAAAAATCAAACTTTTTAAATAGAATTTTTTTTCTACGGTTTTAGTTTATTTGAAAGTGAAACGAAAACAACGATGCGTGTATTTTCTGATAATGCTGGTATCATAATTGATCCATTTGGTGTTGGATCATCAAATCTAAATGAAAATCGTACAACAGCAGTACCTGATATGCGTGGTGTTAGAATAAGTCCAAGACAATCACCGGTTTATCAACCAATGGTAATAAAAATTTTTGTTTTAATAAGTATTTATTTTTTTTTTTTAATATTTGTTTTAGTTACTTTATGGTCCAACTTTAATTACTTATCCATCGGAAGCTATTCATACAACATGGTGGCAATTTGATTATGATAATTAGAAGAAGAGTTTTTTTTTTATTATCATTCTATTTCTTCTAATAATAAGTAACATCAAATGATAACATTTCTATGTTATAAATACATACTATCTTTTCATTTTTGTTTTTTGTTGTTCAGTATTTCACGTCTATCTGAACATAGAATGTTTTTTTTTTGTTTTCTTCTATTCTGTATGTGTATTTGGTTTTTGTTGTCTTATTAAATTAGTGTATTTGTTTATATCTTCTCTTAAAATAACAACAAAAATTCTCTTATTGTTCGTGCTATTGGTGTCATTGTTGCTGGATAAATAAATAAAAGTTTATCTTGATATATATATATATAAAGTTTGAGAATAAATGATTTATTTTCTTTTTCCTCTATTTTCCCTGAATATATCAATGAAAGAATGATAACAGAGAAAGAGACTGTCGATATATATGTACACAAGTACAAAAAGATGATATTTGTATTTTTGCACAGACAAAAACACTGAAAGAGAAAAAACAAACAAACAACGGCAAACATAATCATGCAGTTCAATGTTCTAGATATTCAAAAGTCAGATATAAAATGTATTGAGATTTCGTTGAAGGAAATTGACTTGTTTGATCGACTTTATTTATTCACTGTATGTATTTTCTTTTCTTTTCTTCTGGTTTTCCTTTTTGTAAGATGAGAAATCGTTATTTGATGCTATTTTTCTACTTTCGTTGCACTATGTGTTACGAATAAGAAAACAAGAAAAAAAAAAGAACTAAGAGATAATATTTCTGAGAACAAAAAAATTGAGAGTAAAAATAGACCAGTTTGACTAACACATATATAAATTAGACATACCAAACAGAACACCAGTGGTGGTGGAAGACACATCACAAAACGATTAAATAAAATGGTTTAAATGGAGAAATAAACAAGAAAGAAACAGAAATTGAAACCACCATCATATTATAAAATGATCATCAACTATACCAGCGTGTAAAACATTGAAAATATGTGCATGAAGAGTGTTGCAGGCCTCTAGAGATTTATATCTTTTTCTTGTCAATAACGTCACTCACAGCAGCATTAACGGACGACAAAGTTGACCTAAAAGAAGCGTATTAAGAAATTAACATTTTATAGTTAAACAAACTTTGCTCTCATGTAAGAAGAATTATGGTTGACGTATATTAAAAATTCATAAGATGTATTGGAAGTGGTTCGGTAATAATTATACAAATATGATAAGTAAGTTTAACTTTATCTTATTTAATGAAATTATTTTATTTTAAAAAATATTGTCTATGTTTGTTTTTCGTTTCATACACTAGTTAGATTATTGTTAAGCAGATTTTATAAAGGTTTTTCATACGAAATAATTATTCTATTGGTTTTTAAACTAACGAGAAAATTTTTTCAATGTGATTAATTGTTCTCTGATCGAAACTATGTGTATCATATGGATTCAAATGACATATAAATATCTTGAAAAGACTTCAAATGCTTAACTTATTGCTCAAAAGACATGTCAGCAATATGGGATATTTTAACTTAATGTCGTGGTTCTCCATTAAGAAAAACAGAAAAATTTATTTTTGAATTTCAAGTTAAAACTTTCCATACAGAGAAATCTTACCGAGAATAGTTTATTGTAAAAGTTATAAATCTTTTGATTTGCTCCTATACTGAAATAAGAACATTGAATCGACTAGTGTATCTGAGCGATATAAAAGACGCTCTTTTATCATTATCGTGTCGAGGGATAGGAACAATGAAAATATTTGAAACTGTCATAGTATACTATTATCGTTAACACTTATCTCTATACAAAGTTTCAAGTCAAAATTTCAAAATCAATGTTCCTTAGAACGACCATACCGTTAACTTGAAAAATACTATATTATTATTGAATTCCCGCAATTATTATCTAAGAGTTCGAATTCTTCTCCAGATATTCATCACTCATTTGAGTCTATATTATGCATATAGTCTCGATTTAAAAGCTATTCATCAGTCAAGAAACTTCCCATTGATGTTTATCATCTGATTATTTTATACAAACGAAAAAAAGGCATCAAGGTTTTCAAAACAAAAAACAAACTTACTTAATGTGTTCATCATCATCATCTTCATCTTCTCGTACATCATGTAGATTATTTAAAGTGCCACTACACACTCGAAAAAGAAATTGAAGAATAAACTAAAATAAACAAAACAATATGAAAGTAACTTTATTTCATAGAAAAATAAAAACAAACTACTTACATAAAGCCAATAAATATTTAAACCTAATAAAATCCATAATAACCCATTAAAAAATGCGTACAAACCACAACCTTTATCATAAGCTCGATAAGCAGTAACAACTCCTGCTGAATACAATACTTTCATTGGATACCAATATAAACGAAATAAAAACCTAATTGAAAAAAATTTCTGTCTAATCCAAATATAATAAATTCTTTTCTTTTTCGTCATACCAACAAAATGTAAACATAATAAAACAACCGGAAGCAGCAGTTTCCCATATTGGATATTGTCGACCGTCCTCTCGTGATCCCAAATAATGTAAAGCTTTCGTTAATTCAAGCCAAATATCAGTTATATCATGTACATAAAGAACAAGTAAACCGATTTTATGATAACTATAAATATAATATTTCTACAAACATAAAAAAAAGGAACAAAATCTAATGATTTTATACCGTGTCGCATAAGATACAAAAATTAATGCCATTGTTACAACATGATGAAGAAGCATAACATAAAAATCTTTACGTTTATAATCCATATAGAGTGTTCCATAAACAGAATGTAAATAAAATCCACATTGAATAAAATACATTAATTTTATATCAAATGGAACATTCATACCCGGTAGCCAATCTAATTTAAAAATTATTATTAAAAGCCAAAAAATAAACAATTGTTTTTATTTGATCTAATATTAACTTACCATCCCATATTAGATAAGGTTCATGAAAATAGCTATAACAATAATGAAGTAAATAAACACTATAAGACCATGTTAATGTATAAAAAAAACATTTCCATGCTGATTCAGGAAACTTTTTTTTATCTATCGCTTTTAGCCCAAGCCAATTTACAAATGGCTAAAAGAAAATTTTTAAAAAACATCATAACAAGAATTTTTTTATATAAAAAAACCTTGCAAATAAAATTTTCAAATAAATAACGTAATATTGTGATAAATATTGCTATATAAACAATATAAAAAGCTTGATTAATTGTAAAATAAAAATGTCTTGTAAATTCTTCAAAAAATGAACGTGGAAACATATAATCATGCCACATACATGGTCTATAATACCATGATATTGCATTCCAAATACCTTTGATAAGATCAATATAATTTGGTGTTATTGTAAAATTTCCTTTTAAATTTTTCCATTCTTCTAATTGTTCATATGTTAAATATGGATGATCCATCATTCGTTAAAATATTAATAAATTCTATGATAAAATGACGATATTTGAAATAAAAATATTCGTTCAATTTGTTTATATTATACTTAAATGAGTTTGTCTTAATAGATAAATATCAAATGAACATTAGTTATTTAATTTGTATAATGATAAACAATAAGAATAATAATCGTTTAGTATGAACATTATTCAAATATAACAACTAAAAGTATAAGTAATAAATCATACATACATACGTTTTGTACGTACTCAATAATGAAGTAATACGCATGCACTTAACAGAAATTATGTCGATATTTCTATTCCTTTCTTTCTTTCTTTTTTATTTTAATAATTTTCGTCAACCGTGATATCAACTAAACAAGATGACGGAGAGAAAAGAGAAAAAAACCCGAGTAATGATGAAAATGAAAAAGCATTATGAAAAATAAATGATTCATATAAATAAATGCAATCAAAGAACAGGGAAATGAGAATGAAGTATGAGGTATGGCACGAACGAATTAACCACGGGTGCTTTATATCTACCAATCAAAATACAATGTGTAATCCTCCTCTAATTCAATGTGGGAAAATTATTTTAGACAAAATATCTATGCACTAACATAACGTTCAACAAATCACCAATAGATTTGACATGATGATAGAAAGTGAGATAAAACAAAAACCGCGAACTGAATTCAAATTAATGTTCTTTATACATTATAAAGGCAGATATTAGGAGTTACTGGTGCTTCTACACAATACGCACCGCCCTACTAATTAGTGTATGTAGAATAACATACAATAAGCACAAGTGTGAGTGAGGGCGGTACATATTGTGTAGAAGTACCGAATGTTTTCACATTTTGAATTTGGAACTTAGAGTTGTAGTCTCTCTTAATATGTAAATTTGTAGCAGAAAAAGTAGAAGCTATTGAGTCGTACCTGGAGTAGAGATGTGTAGAATAACCTTTTTTCATACTCTGTACCCTAACTGAGAGAAATTTCTAACCCTTAATCTACCCGGTGGAGCGTGTATCTTTACCTTATCCTACAAAGTTTTTATCTCACACTCTTTTATTTCTACTTTAGTTGCGAGACTCTAATGGTGATAAATAGCAAAATAGTATCACATTAGAAATGCAAAAAAAAAAGGTTCTTTTCTTGTATCGTAACTGAGAGAAACTTTCTGATCCTTATAATACTCTATTCTCTGGGACAGGGTTTGGATAATTCCAAGGCTGAACAAATAGATTTCTATGCTAGAAATCATTCTAAATCACAGAAAATCTTCAGTAGTAAAATTAAAAATAAAGTCTTAATTACTGATAATTTCTCCTGATTTTCCTTCATTTTGTAAATATTTCTGATGCTTCCCATTGATTCGTAGTGAACAGATAAAAAATGACTTTCACTGGTAGAAATCAATATAACTCATTAGAAACGAATATACTAGTTTGTTCTCTTCTTGCTTAGCCCTGCATATTGCTATCTTTGAACAAGCAAAAATGCACGAGAAATTTTCATGGCCGATAAAAATATGAGATAAACTATCATTTGTTTATTGACACACTATAATAAGGCTAAAAGTCAGACTAACTTTCTCGTTGAGAAGTTCGTCAATATTTTTCGGTTATCGTTCTCGACAGGTCACTTGTTTTTAGGAGTATCACACTCCAATCTATGAGCATATTTTTCGTCTTTGATTTTTAGTTTCAAATTTTCTCTACAAAATGTATCATATATGTTTCTATGAATCTTTCAATAAGATATTTCAGTTTTATTTCGTTAATATCCAGGATTTTGGATTGTTTTGGAACGTATGAGAGACTGAAAATTCGTCCGAAAGTCTTTTCATTCTTCTGTCTAGACGACATCGAACAAGGGATGATAAAGTCATAGGTTATCTCTGAAATGTATTAGCAAACTATATTCTCATGTCACTTTCTGTCGGAGACAAAGATAAGAAACCTATAATTTGCCTTCTGTCAACAGTGTCTGGGAGATTGTAAAACATCCTGCAGAAAGTGTTAGCAATTTCGGTAGAAAGTACAACATTTTTAGGAAGAGAAAGCTTCCACCATTCTTTGCCTTATCGGGAAGTCTGTTCACACCATTACTTGAATGAAGACTAGACATTCATTTTTAATATAATATTTTTAAAGTGTTTGAATTATGAAAGTACCGTATGAAACGAATCTTTAGATCATTTCAGAAATTTCTTCATTAGTTTCGCACAATTTGTGACATCAAACTGGCAAATAATATAAACATTTTTTATGTAATTTATACTTCTTTTGTAAAATTGTTCCATCGACAAAAAGACACTTGCTAGATTTTTAATTTTTCATTAGAAATTTTCTTCAGATTTTAGACGGATTCTAGCTATATCTTTCTTTATTTATCAGGAAGCTTGTGTGACCTTACTGCTTTGGGCAATGATATAAAAGTTATTAAAGTGACTTTAGAAATTATTCTCACGAAAACTCCATTAGCTGTACATTGTATATACCAAACAAAACTTTAATTTTAATATTGATCAGAAAAAATTCATAAATTAACAATCATTACATCTATCGCTATTTTAAATGATAATATTCTAAAGCAGCTTCTACAATAGAATCGACGGTTCGTTTTGAGTCTTATATGAATTCATGAATCTGTTTCTCAGCATCTCACTATTAGAAATCAACAAAATTTCACTAGATTCTGAAGTAAGCAGAAATCTATTTGATTAAGTGTTTTGACAATGTCATTCGCTGAAATATTATGTACAAAGCAACAAAATTTAGAGTTGAGAAAGAACAACAGAAAAAGATTAAAATTCATTTTCAATAAATTTCATAAGAATTGTTCAGTACTTTCGAGATCATACGAATATTTAATAATGAATTGTTAAGCACGTATGACAAATAGAGGTATTGCTGTAAGATAAATGCTTTTCTTGCTCTGATAAGCGAAGAGCAAATAATCGATACTTGAATAAATTTTGTCACGTATTCAGTAAAGAATAGTAACCACTTTCACAAATGCAAAAAAGTGACTCACAATTTTTTACTTTTCCTTTAACGAAATTGAAACATTCCTTCCTAGATACTATGAATTGTTCAATTTGTTCTTTATCGTAAATCACTAATATTTTTAAATTCATATCTATTATATAACTTATTGTATTTCTCCTCTTAACTATTAAGCTAATAATTGATTAATAATATACATGTCACGATAAATACATCTTTAGATCTAAACAAAATAAAATAGAATATCTAGATTTTTTTGTGTCCATATAAATAAAATGATAATTTACAGATATATTTTAGTCATTTAACAGTGACATGAAGAATGATTTATTTTAAATGCTTCTTGCATGACTGTTGATAATGATTTATTTATTGCTTCATCTGAAATATTTCAAAACCTACATACGTATATAAGTCAAACAATTATATACTTTTATCAAAGACAGAGATAAAGAAAATCTGGTTTGTAAAAGAGGAGAGAAAGAACTAATAATTCAATAAAATTTTGTTCTCCTTATCGATTATGTATTTTGATCTAAATTTTATTTTTGTATTTTTAATCATTAACAATTTTGCTATTTATTTCAATAGTTTAATCGATATTGTTTTGTGCATTTGAAGAATTAACCATAAGAATCTTCAAAGTAGGAAAATAATTAGTGGTACTCATTTCATATAAATTTTAAAGTGAAATCAATTCTTATGTTCTGTTTCAAATCACAATATATATGTTTCTTCGTAGTTTATGTGCTGTAAGATACAATAGCGACATGATTATCCGAGGAACATTATAAAAAAAAATTTTTTAATGTAAGTTTTTATTCGGATTTTTTTTACATATCAACTAATTTACAAAAAGAAATTGTTTCCGGAAGAGTGATAAATACATTATTCTGTTCCGACGTTGACCTATCTTAAACAAAAAAGAACAAAGAAAATATTTTTATAAATCATAAATGGTTTATTGACTTTTGCTGGAAATAATGTTTAGTAAATATACTGCTAAATTGGCATAAGATAAAGATGGATATTGATGTATGATAGATCAATGTTACTTTTATTCTGTTTTTTAAATTGATTTTATTTGTTTTTGGATACATTATATGAATCTTTTTCAAGTCTAAATGGAATGTTAGATCAAAAAATTGTATTCACATGAATGAATGATGCTGATTATAAATAGACGAATGAATTTGAGAAATTTGACATTTCATTGACGATTCCTTATCGATACATATCATTAATAGAATTACGTCATTTATGTTTTTTAATACTTCATATCATTAGACTAAACTGGCTTCACTTTATGAATCAAAATATTATTTTAACTGTATTAAAAGCAATCTGTTGCTATATATTAGATACAACTTTGCTATTCCATGGCTTCGTAAAGAAGTGAACATGAGCAAGAAAGTAAACTATCTTAAGTAGTTCAGTAAAAAACATCCATTGAATATACAGTTAAATAACAAATCATTTTCGATTTATAATTGTTAGTACAATAATAAATACTTGACATCGGCATTTACAAATTTTTTTGACTAACATAATATGTATTTGAAAACGACAAGAATTTTCTAGTTCTTCCGAAGCCTTCAATTTTTCTAAGCTCACATGATCCGATTTTTTAATTTCTAGTCGTGCAATGAAGTTCTTTCAATAGACAAAAAAATTCTAATCAAAATCATACAAGCTTGAATGTTTTCTAATGTAATATAATTCTATGTATACGTATTTGTCAACTATTATTAATAATATTTTAATTTCATCCTCCTATGTGATTTTTTCGGCATTTCATAATAAAATCATGTCATAATATTTCTGCAGTGCAATTAATACTGATATTAATCTTCATTCTATCTGATTTAGAGTGCTGACTTTTGTACATCAGTCCTGGTTTAATCGAAATTTTTGTACTATTTTTCTTCTTGCCATTACATATGGTAGTATGTGGACGACCATCTATTTTCATTCCCTCTCTTTTCTTCTTCCTCTGTTCCCTTTTATCGTTCTATTCTTCTTTCTTTTTTTTTTTGACGACGATTGCTTATTCGTGGGTGCCGCACTGATGGATCAAGACAAAAAAGAAATTGACGAATAGCAAAACAGGAAAGAATGCAAACTGGGCACAGCGCCAAAAAAAAACATAGGATAAGCAATCATGAACAAATGCAACCAATGAATACATACTACGAACAATCTATAGGCATATGACGATGCCAAATGGCAATATTGAAAGAAACAGCACATATCTAGTCGTGTGTTGGCTACATTTGACAAGACATATCTATATATAAATAAATAATTTTTAATTTTCAAAAAATGATAAATGATCATTCATTTATATGACGTCTTCTCATAATCTCAAATTTAAAAAAACATAAATATCAAGAACATATAAAAGAAAAAAAGATCGATATTTTTGATAAATGTCTTCAATTAACTTGATCTTCAAAGCATTTTATATATAACATTAGAGATCTTTTTTCAGACACAATTGATTCAAATAGTTGTGTCTTTTCCATTTATTAAACTTGAAATTGAACTGGCGCCCATATATACTCGTTTATCTACGCCATCTGTATGCATAGTCGTGCGTTGTTCTGCTCTTTTTCTTATAATGTACACATCTCTCTCTCTCTCTCTTTTCCCCTTCTCTCTGTCGTTCGCTTTCCCCAAGCTACAACAGCAAGAATTCTTCATCTTCAACGAATAATGGCCGTGTCCTCGTCTTCACTGCATTGATGATTGTGTTCTCTTTCCACCATCATTCTTTACATACGAACACATATATATGTGAATAATGAATGAATCGAGCAAGTAAAGCGCGCGGTCGATGTAGGCAGAAGAAGAGAAAAGTCAAGCAAACTTGCTTGCATTTCACCATCGAACAGAATGGAAAGAAAAAAGGAAGGAGAACACGAAGAAACGCAACTGCGCCTTGCACATATCAAGTATAATTTTGCTTGTGTATGTGTGTGTGCAGGCGTTCGAACGAAAGAGAAAAGAAAAAGTGGTGAGCCTTACCAAGGAGCAAGCAATACGATAGAACAAGAAAAAGAAAAAAAAAGAAGTAATATAAATTATAAGCAAAATGGTGGTGGTAGTCGTCGTCGTCGTCGTTGTCGAGCATCGACCGACCGATCGAGCGACAGCGAAAGAGAAAAGGAAAAGAAAGATGTCTATATGCGTTTGAAGCTTTGTGAGGAGAAAGAGAACAAGAAAAAAAGCAAGGAGGGGGGGAGAAAACGACGAAGAAGGCTGTACCTATACTAACGCCATCGAGCGAGTAAGCGCGCAAGTAGAAAAGAAACGACGAGAGTTTTCTCGTCAGAGTTGCTTGTTGTTGAGTTATTGTTGACAAGAACGAGATGCATCCATATTACCATCACCAACATCCTTTTTTTAATAAACATGTTGGTTTCGTACGTAAAAAACTAAATAGAATGAAGGAAAGAAGAAGAAAAAAAAAGGATTGTTGCACTCTATCTTGGCGTATTTCCTTTCTCATGTTCACTGTTTTTTCTTCTTCTTCTTCTTCTTCTCTCTATCTCTTCGACTTTTATGTCGTCAACGGGAAAACAGCTCAAGTAGTTTTGCGCGTTTGACAGTTGCTCCACCGCCCATCCACCCACACTCATATAAACTCGTTAATGCGTGTTCTTATCCGTTAATATTATCCCATTAATTAATCTGAGAAAACTTTTAAAAGACAGTTTCTTTTATTTCAATGACATAATTGATAAAAAAAAAACTTAAGAAAGAAACAAGATAATTACTGTCTTTTTTGTTTCTTTCTTTCTTTCTTTCTTTCTTTAGATAATTTCGTTGGGATTTATAATTTTGTTGTTGTTTCTTTTTTTCTTTTGTTTTGTATGTATTATAAAAATTTTCTTTTTATTTGATCAATATCATTTTATTTAAGTAGCAATACTTTTATTTAAATATGTATTAAATAAAATCAAAACGTGATAATTTATTGACACTTATATAATAATCAATTAAACTATATGTAAGTGAATATCTTTTGTTTATTATTGTGTAAAGAAATAAAAAAGAACAGAAAAGAACACCTTTATATATTTGATTAACTATGCGGTTTTTCTTTTTGACATGAATATGACTATTTCTATTTCTTTCATATTGTTTTGGCTGTCATTCAAAAGAGCGTAAAGTCAATTACAATTGCGATGTACACACGATTCATTCATTCATTCTTTTATTGAATCCCGCCTTTACATGTATATACATGTGAGTTCTCTTTTCCCGCGCTCATTGACTACTGAAACCCCTCTCGAACACACACACACACACACACATGAAGAACGAGACGATAGAGAAAGAGAGATCGTAAAAAACCAGCTGATTGTCAAAAAAAAACTAATCAATCGACAAGTCGTTAAAGCTATATACATGTTTATTCGACAAATAACGACAAATAGATTTTAATATGATATATTAACAAATTAATAAGAAATGTTATCTTTAATATTTTAGATCAATTGATTATGTGCGACAATCTTTCATTGTATAAAACATATATTCCGTCACCAACAATACTTTCATCAACACAATCAACAACAATGGCTCCACAGTTCTATCCTATGAATAGTGATGATCAACAACATCGACCGTTTATGAGTATCAAACGAAAATTTTCAGGTATATATTAACTAAATGAAAAAGATTCTATATAATGTATTATATTGAATTGAATCCGATTACAGATATGATTTATATGAGTTCTATAAAGTATATCATTGTCATTTTGTTTTTTAAGTTATCATATGCTGTTATTTTATCTTCAAACAGCTTAGTATGATTAGAGGATAAGAATGATATGCTGAACCGATTGTTTTTTAATGTTAATTTTGGTCATTCGAGATAACTCTTGAATATGAAAATTGTCGAAGAAATATAGACAAAAATATTCACAATGATAAGGTTTATGTTTCTTTTTTTATGATAAAGAAAATTCTATACCTAAAGAGAGTCTTGCAAAGTCAAATCAGAGACTCATTAGTAAACAAAAAAGATAAAGAAAATTTTCAGTCTTAAATATTGTTTAATTATTCAAATCGAATATTCCAAAGAAAAATAAACATGATTGATAATACAAAGTATCGTTAAATTCTACTATGTTTTGTATCTAAAAAAATAATTGCTTAATAAAATGAATCAGATTGTTTGTGTGAATAGATAGAGTCTTCATAAATTACTAAGATAAAAATTGAATCACCTCATTAGTAGAAATTCATTTTACCGAATACTTCTAAATACTTTGCGGTGATTGTTTCTAAATCAATATTAATCATCGTTCTTTCATAAAATTCTTCATTAAAGTTCGATCAAAATATGAAACAAATTAAATCAGTATCAAAAGTAAAGTATGTTCAATATTGTATTTAATTTAAAACACGAAAAATTTATTATTTTTCGTTCTCGATTCTGAAATATTTTTTTCTTAATGTTTGTCTTGAAAATATCTCCTCTTATAATTTGATTCTATTTATATGAACATTATCACCTAATAATATTCCTAATTTTTATTATTTGAATCAAGAAAAACAAACATTCTGATTCTTTATAAATGAGCTCATTGGTCAAGTTTTAGTTTTTTTTTTTCTCTAATAATTTCTACATTATTTTCTAAGGTTCTTATTGAATTTTCATAATAATGTTTATAGAAATTTCATGACTTCTATTTTTTTTTTTTTTTTTACTTTTTTGACTCGGTTAAATAGATCAAACAAACGCTTTTAATGCATTGAATGCGTGAAATTTTTTTTAATAAAAAGTTACCTTTTATATGTTATCACGGTCAAATAAAAAAGAGTAATGAGCTACATCGTTAAGGGGATATAAACATATATATTTTTTTTGTGTCATATATTGTACTAAAAATAATATCAATGAAAGTTAAGATTAGTTGAGAATATTTAATAACTAGTATTTTATTCAACCTAAGGGCTGAAAGGGGGCACCTCTTCAAAGGTCTGGACTTTGTCTTTATTCAAACACCTACGATATATCTGTCTGTACTCGTAAAAATAGATGTCGCCATTTCGGAAGAGAAAAACCAGGATAGAACACTATTAAAAATTCAACTTTAATATTTTATTTATTTAATAAAAGAATTAATATTGAATTTCTTTTTTTTTGATACATTAATTTAGATTATGAAGATAATAATTCATCATTAACAACACTTGAACATGTTTCAACATCATTTGATTCTAATAATAGTGATGATGAAGATGATGAAGATGATGATGACGGTAGTTCAGGTGATGATGAAACAATAAGTGATGATGAATCAAATAATGTAGATTCAATAACACGTGTAACAACACCTTGTACAATAACACAACGACGTCATAGTGATACAAATCATACGTCATCATCATCATCATTATCTTATGGTACACCAATTGTTAAACGTCGATGTACATATTCATCAATGCACGATGATGAACAAAAGCGTTCTGTACTTGTTGAATCATATCGAAAGTTACGTGGTGTAAAGAAACCAAAACTTCAAGTTAGTTTACTTATATGTAATTTAATAAAACGATTGGAAAAAACTTTTACAAAATCGCCACCTCCATCAAGACAACAGCAACAACAACATGTACAGTATTATCAACCTCGAACAACATATCGTTCATCATCATCAGATAGTATTTATATGTCAACATCACTACCATCATCATTAGGTACTGATGATATTGAAACAACAACAATAACACCAATAAATCAACAGTATTCACCACCACATACATCAAATTATGATTCAGATAATGTATTATTACCTGTTGGAGATATAAGATCAACATCATCAATGTATCATCCATCATCAACTGATGCATATTGGCTTGCTCAATCGAACTTTGCTATACCTGTTGTATCAACATCAGATGATGATGTTGATGTATCATTACAGGGTGGTGGTGATTATCTTGATTTAAGTGACAATACTTTAGCGTCTTCCTTTTCATCTTGTTCTTCTGCACCTTCTTCTGTATCTTCATCTTCTTCATCTTCATCAGAATTAATATCATCATCAACATCAATATCAAATGATTGTTGTTGTTCATCAACATCATCTTCGACAATGACAAAACTTCTTGTTGATACGAATAATAATAATAATAATAATGATGATTATTATGTTTATCATCATCATCATCATCAACAACAACATCATCATATTCATCATCATGCTCAAATTCATTCAAATCAAGACTTACATTCTCATCATCATTCGTCATTATCAGAACAAGCATTTTTTTATCATCATAATGGAAATAATACCGTTGATATTATTACAACAGCGTGACATGTTTTCTTTTTCTATTGGTATCTATTTGTTGTGCATCTATTTCTTATTTATTTTTTTTCTCTATATTTCTTTCTCTCTCTCTTTTTCTTCGATCTGAATTTTCTTTTGTTTTTCTTTTCTGCTATTGTCAAACGATAAATCTCTTTCTTCTTTATTACAAATTGAAAACAAAGAAAATGAGTACATGCTCATAGGCATGTGTATGTATGTAAGACAAGAGTATTGTCTGTGGTATTGAAATCTTATATAAAACTTATGTTTTTTTTTGTTTTTGTTGATGTTGTTGATTGTTCACAATTTTTTTTCTCTTTCGATTTGTGCCTCTGAGTTTTGTTTTACAAACTCTCTTTCTCTCTATTCCTCTCTCTGTCTTGATCTTTTTTTTTTCTATGAACTTTTCATTATAATGATTAAAGGAGAAGAATGGAAAAAAACCAAAAAATACTTTAATTTATCTAGATTGATTTTTTTATAGTAGCTTTTAATAAATAAGAAAGTTAATAAGGAAAAATCTATAAATGGAATAAGCTTGCTTTTCATTATTGATTCAAGTCTATTAAATGACATTTCAAATACCGGAAGTGTTCAAAAGAAACTATTTGCATATTTATTTTAGTCGACGTCAGTAATTGCACATACTGATTCATTACCTCAAGGTTAAATTATACCAAAAAAATATCACTAAACAAAAAATAGTCAAGCAATGAAATATATTTTTCAATTTTCGTTTTTGATTTGTACTTATCGACGCAAAGCGCCATCGAGCTAATATTATAAGCTATTGGATGATTTGCCTTAAAACTATTGACAGAAATCCATGTTTTCGCTACCTTCCTTCCTGTGCTCTCTTTCATATAAATACACATATATCCACGCATATACGTGAAAAAAACAGAGAACGAGGAAAAAGCCATAGAGGAAAATCTGTCAACAACAGAACAGTAGTAACAATCAAATAGGTCGTTGTATGTCGTTGTCGACGTTAGTTAATCGTCTGGGTGCTCTGTGCTTGTTTCAACTAAACAGTTGAGTCGTAAATAAGTTTTACTTTGTTTTTGTTTTTTTCTTTGAGATATGATTTTTAACCGGTGATTCATTGTAAGTATGTAATTATATGGTCAACAATTATGGCAGGATTTCACGTGTCATCTCTTAAATGTAACGAAGTATCAACTAATTTACGATCGGGTACATTTGCATTGAAATGGCCAGAAGAGACCAATAAACCTGTGGTAATAAATAATTAGCTATAAAATTAAGTTTACAATTAAATCAACTTATTTTATTTAGATTCCAATTGCCGTTAATCTGTCTGTAGATCCTAAAGGCTACTATTTAATTTGTCTCAATAAAGTCACTAAAGTGTGTATACATAAATATATATATATATACATAGAAATATTTCGTTTGAGAAGAAAAACAAAATGTTCTTAATATGTTTTTTCTTTAAGGAATCTGAATGTTTGGATATTGCTCTAATTCATGATACTCGAACAGGTTCCGATGCATCACTTCCTCGAGTAAAAATTTCAAAAAAATAAGAAAAATTATTTCAAATAGAAAGAAAAAACGAAACATTTTCTCTCATATTTTTCAGGGTGCTACTGAATGTGAACAAATGAATATTGGTGTAATGGATGTTCCACTTTCATCAAAATGGCTTACAATCTATTATGGAAATACATTTATACCTGATCGTGAATTACGTGTAATTCATTTTTCTTTTCATTCACCAACTGTGGCTCGAGTATAAAATTATTTTTAGAGAAATTTAACAAAAAACAAATTTTCTTTTCTATATAAAAGGAATGGACTGAACAATTATTTCAATATGGACATAATCCACTTCTACGAAATCTATCTAGTTTAGAATGTCTTGAAAAATTTCATTCGAGGATCATCAATGGTCTTGTTGATGATCGTTTTGATAAAAAAGCAATTCCTGTTCGAATGTATTTATAACATTTTAGCTTTGACCTTTATTCTTTTGTTTTTTTATTTAATTTATTTAGTTTAATTCAACTTCTATGTAAAAATAATCGTGATCTTAATAAAGAAACAAAAATTCTAAAAACACTCGAGCTATTAGAATTACCATGTCGAATGGTAAATAATTGATAGTTTTTCTTTTTACTTAATAAAAATTACTATTATTACTATTATTATTGTTATTATTATTATAGGAAACTGTTATTGATCCTGATCAATTTACATTTAATAAATTTGTTCGTTTCTATATGCAACTTATGGAACGTCATGAAATTGATAAATTATTTGATTCAACGTAAGAATTGCATTTTTATTGAAAATTTTTCATGAAACTTATTCATCTAAAAGATCTCAAGTTGATGAAGACGAAAGTATTCTAGCTATGATACCGTAAGAATAGTAATACGAATCGAAAAATATATTTATTCATATTTACTCTATTGTCATGCATGCTGTTTGTTTCTTTGAGAACTATAGCACGATATTTATATTTCTGTATTTAGAGTGTTTATAAATATTATTATAATTTCTTTTTTTTTTGGTAGCGGTGGAAAACATCGACGATATCTTAGTTGGGAAAAAGTAAGAGATTTTATTGTTAAACAAAATGATGCACGTGGTGATGCATTTGGTATGGATTATTATGATCAAAAAGCTAAAGATCTTGTTAAAAAATATACACAACATGATGAACACTTTATACAAAAAGGTTAAATATCGTGTTTTGTTTTTGTTGTTTCTATAATTTAAAACTGTTGTTGTTGTTGTTGTTTTTTTCTTTGGAATGATAGGAATGTATGATGAATCATTTCTTCGATATTTACTTAGTTTTGATAATTTAATTGTTGATCCAGCAAAATTTGATCTTTTTATGGATATGGATAAGCCTTTGGCACATTACTTTATTTCGTCATCGCATAATACATATTTGACAGGTTCGTTTATTTGTATATAAGAAAAAATAATATTGTTTCTATGTCAAACCACTTATTATCTAGGATCACAGTTAACTGGTCGTGCTAGTACAGAAATGTATCGACAAGTACTATTAACTGGATGTCGATGTATTGAATTAGATGTTGTTGATTCCGAAAGGAAAAATGACGAACCAGAAATAAAACATAGAAATACACCTGTTCGTTCTGTACAATTTCTTCAAGTTATTAGTGCTATTCGAGAGTGTGCTTTCAAAGTTAGTCCTTATCCATTAATACTATCACTTGAAAATCATTGCAGGTTTAAAATTTCAAAAACATTAGTTTTCTTTTTGTAATCGTTTTTTTTTTGTTTTTTGATGTATAGTCCTCGAGCGCAAGCTAAAATGGCTAAATACTTAGTTGATGTTTTCGGTGATAGTCTTATAACTCAAGCACTAAAAACTCATCCAATTGAAGACAATTGCCCATTGCCAAGTCCTAATGATCTTAAATTTAAAATCTTAATTAAAAATAAAAAACTTCATCAAAGTACAAATTCACAATCAACTAATCTCACTGGACAAGTATCAGTGCAAAAAACTGATTCAACAGCAACAAGCACCAGTGATCCAAATGCTGGTATATGTACAACACCAACATCACCTATTTCATCATGTTTTACAAATCGATCAAGTGATTCTGTCCATCATGGACAAACCATATTCAATGAAAAACGTTATGATTCTCAATCGACTGATATTGATTCACAATTGATGATTGATAATAATCGAAATGGTGTTCTTATGGAAGAAGATGATAACACATCATCTGATGAGGATGTTTTAATATCAACAAGTACTGGTATAGAGACGAATGATTTAAATATGAATACAAATCCAACAGAAATTATGATGTCCGATCAAACAACAAATATGATGAATAATCTATCATATCCAACAAATAGTGATGTTATTGCGGAATCAAAAGCAACAAAAGCAATGTCGGATCTTGTTCATTATATTGTACCAGTACGATTTGTTACATTTGCACGAGCAGAAGAACGTAATCGAAGCTATGAGATATCATCATTTGCTGAAGATAAAGCACAAAATTTAATTCGTGATTATGCAAAAGAATTTGTTGCGTATAATCAACGACAATTAAGTCGAATATATCCTCGTGGTACACGTTTTGATTCAAGTAATTATAATCCATATTTATTTTGGCCAGTTGGCTGTCAAATGGTTGCATTAAATTATCAAACATTAGGTAAACAAATATATATATATATATAAAGGGTGATTCAAAAGTTTTGATCGTTCTTCCTTATTACAAATCCAAAAACGTTCAAAATCGGAAGTCTAATTCCTGGTAGCTAGACGAATATAACTGTAAATTTTCAGCTCTCTAGTCCTTATTATAGAGGAGATATATAGATTTGTATGATAAAGAAGATTTTTTTTTCATATCCTAAAATCAAAATAGTGAGGAGTCACATCCAAAAAATAAATATAAAGAGAGAATTATAGAGAATCGAATTATATTTTACGATTAATTAGATTTCTACAGTACATTTATTTTGAATATTCTTAACTCTGATTAGATGTATATTGACATATGATCATTGTCCATCATTCATTTTCGACAAATCTTTTTCAACGAATTCTCCTTTTTGCAATTGTTTTTCGCCAATTAATTTCTGATCGTTTTATTTAATTTCATTACTTTTACTAAATATCAATGTCTCGAAAATATAAAAAACCGATGTTAATGAACGAACCTATAGAGATTTGCAAAACAATCAGTCTACATAAGTGCTCACAATTTATGAATTCAATATCAAGAAGATTACAATGTTTAATCAACAAAGGAGGTTATCCAGTCAACAACAAGGACTAATGATTTATGAAAATACGAAAACATTCTGTTGTTTGTTATTATATTAATACTGAAAATTAATTATTCTAGACATTTCTTCCAAATAAAATTTTTTGACTGTTTTTGGGACATGGAAAAAAATCTTCTGTATCATGCGAACCTATACATCTCCCCTATAATAAGAACTAGAGGTCTAAAAATGTAGGGTTATATTTGTCTAGCTACAAGTAATTAGAATTCCAATTTTTAGTGTTTTTGGATTTGTAATAAGGAAGAACGAGCAATTTTTCTAAGAACGACTAAAACTATTGAATCACCATATATATGTTTATTATCAATAGTGGATAAATCAATATTATTTCAGATACGCCAATGCAAGTCAATTTAGGTTTATTTTCATTTAATGGTGGTTGTGGTTATCTAGAAAAACCAGCATCTTTATGTCAATCAACAGGTTCATTTGATCCAAAAGGTCGAACAAATGTGGAAAATGTTGTTGGTTACCAAATTGAAATAAAAATTTTATCTGGCCAATTTTTATGCCAAGATCGTGAGCCAGCTTATGTTGATATTGAAATGTATGGACTATATGCTGACGCTACTAAACGACATGAATGTCGTATACGTGCTAAACGTTGGAATGGTTTTCAAGCTGTTTATGATGATACGGATGTTGAAACGGGTGAATTTTCAGTTCGATTTTCAAAAGTTATTTTACCTGAAATGGCTGCACTTCGTTTTGCTGTTTTTGAAGAAGATGGAACATTTATCGGACAAAGTTTTGTACCAGTTGCTCATTTACGTCCTGGTTATCGTCATGTTGTATTACGAAATCAAATAAATATACCTGTTCAATCATCAAGTTTATTTGTTTATATTCGTAAAGATGTTCATGTTGATGCTGAAAATAAAGAATTAATTGATCAACTTGTGTCACCAACATCAGTTTCAATAGCAATAAAAGAACAACAACCAAAACCAATTAAATTTAAACCATTATCGGAACAACGTTCTCAATCAGTTGGAGATATAAATATAATAAGAAAAAGTTCCGATGATGAAATACAACCGTATACTGGTAATATGGATGGTTCATTCAATGATTCTTCACGACCTCATTTTCCATCAACAATAGAAATTAGAAATGGTACAAGTGGGTTAGGAATAAAGTATGCAAATCGTAATCAATCAACACCAATGGTTGATGCTAATTGGTACCTACATCGATTGATTGCTTCCAGTCAATTACGTGATAATGAACATTTATGTAGAGAACTTTTATTACATGATGTTGAGGAAATGAAACCATTCAAACGAAAACGAGAATCTATTCAAGCTAAAATACGACGTGCTTCACTTGAATATGACAAGGTATTAATTAATAGAAATGAAGTCTTATGAAAACAAAGGTTTCGTTTATATAATTTTTCATTTTCATAAATATGTTCTGTGGGTTAGTGGATGAACAACAAAAAATGAATACATTGTTGTTTTTCAATGTTATACTTTAAGTTGGCATTATTTTGTTAAAAGAAGAAGATCAGGTTTTTTTTCTAATGAGTTTTTTTTTTTGGGAGACCCTCTAGCTGAGGATAATGAACTTGCATTGTATGGAAACTTTTGTAGTTGTAGAGTACGAAAGTTAATTTCATATTGGTTTCGATGACATCGAATTGATTGCGCATATTTGATTTGGCAAGGGGGGGGGGAGGAGTGGGTAGGTGTAGGTAAGATAGAGACCTTACCCTCACTCACTTACCCACAACTTTAGCATGATATGTACTTCTAAGAGCAATGTAATATATTCATATATAGGCTATATAATAAAGATTCATCAATAGTACGAAAATATTAGGTAACATATGTAATCTTAATTTCGAATAGAGACACTTACTAAATCAAAAACATTAGTGTTCATTTTTCTCAAAATCACTTTTTTCGAGTATACTCTTTATCTGGATCAACTTTTCTTAGTAACGACTCAATATAAAAGTAGTAATTTTGTCTTTATTATACAGTCGACAGTTAGTAATAGGTCGTAACAGAGCGTGATTTTTTAATTTATCTTTTTCTGAAACAAAAAATCAGATATTTGAGTTTTAATTGACGTTTATTTTTAGCCATGAATTTGAGAATTTAAAAGAAAAATAAACAAAGGGAAATACAAAAATTGGGCTCTATTATGATCTAGTCTTAAGTGTACTCTACAACTTTGGAGCAATGATATTGACCATAACTAGAGAGTATTTCGGAGATTTAGCAAGATATCTTATTTATAATCGATTTTAGTCAAGACTAATATTTTCTGAAATCGGATAAAAAATAGAAAAGTTTATTTCTGTAGTGGATTCTTAAATTTTAAAAACTAATGATTGTTTTGTGTTTTTATGAAATGCATGTTTATTCTAATTATTAAATCTACATTTTCGATTCATATAGAAAATTCAAAATGAAGAAGAACGATTTCAAAAATGTCTTTATCGTCAACAGAATCGAATGAATGCATTGCTTCAAAAACCTATCAGCCATTGGACTAGTTCGGAATTGAATGTGGCAAATAGTTCATATATTGATTGTCGTACATCAAGTTTAATTCATCAAAGATTTATTAGCGATGTAAGATTATTCGATTCATAAATTTAGTTATGTGTCCATTCATATACTTTCTTTCTAGGAAATGAAACAAGCCGAAACACGTTTACTTGATCTTTATTCTAGTAAATTCCATTCACAAAATGAAATAGAATATAAATTGTCAAAAGAAGTTTGTTGATTTAACTAATTTCTTTTTGTTACACAAATAAGTCTTTATTTTTTAGTATTATAATGATTTAGAAAAATATGTAAACGATTATTATGCTAAACAATTAAATCAGATTCATTATATACTTAAACAGTAAGTAAATAATCAAAATATAGAATAATGCTTATTTCAATTAAAATGAATGAAGCTTTTTTTTTTTGGTTTTTTCTTACACAAGTTTGACAGGCATGTTAAAACGAATATCAATCTTTTTTCGTTTCTCCAGCTAAACAGTTAAAAATGCTTGTTACTTTTTTTTTATTCCGTGAGTAAATAAAATTTCAGCTCGTTGCATTCCTGTCAAATATCACCGATTAACATTTTGTTTTTTTTCCCACTACTTATTTAAAAATACTTTGCATGCGAGTGAACTTTTCCATTTTCTCTTATTCACTTATACACATTTAATCATTTCTTGATAACTAAGTTTTTGTTTGATTTTTAAAATAATTAATATTTTGTTATTGACTAAATCATTTTCTTTTTATCAGTGAACAATCAAAAGTAAAAGAAGACGTTCGAGTACAAATGAAAACTGAAACAAAGAAAAAAATGATGACTGAAACGGATAGGTAAGATTGTTTTGTACATAATATTTTATTTTTATTATTCTTAATATTTTATAGAGAAAAAATTGCTGGTTTAAAAGAAAAAATTCGTCAAATAAATATTGAAGCTGGTGCTTTAGCAATTCGAAAAGTAAACAGTATTGAATTTTTTCTCTAAAGAAAATTAATAATTATTCTTCATTTTAGCTTCAAGAAATGCATGAAAAATTAGAGAAAAAAATTCAATTGAATTTGCAAAAGACACTTCATCAACTTCATGAAGAAAAAGATTTAGTAATTGATCGATTTTTATTAGAATTTCAAATTAAGTTTCATTTTTTTTTCTTCTTGTTTTTTAGGAAACCAAAAATCGTTTTGCTACATATTCAAATCAACTTAATGAAATAAAATTTCGATTACAACGTGATATGTATGATACTGAACGCATTGTAGTACGTGATAATGCTTCTCCAAAATTATATCGTCCAACAATGACGTCAAGTGCCTCACTCTCTGCTATATCTGATCATCACCAAATCCCAATTACCTCATCAACTTTTACTCCATTAGCATCACCATCAAATGTTGTGGCATCAAATCAATCATCTAGACGGCAAACTATAAACACCACAAATATGAGAACTAATGGACCTGATCACGAAGAATTAATGTCCTATATAAATCAAACGACTGAATCAACCCGACTTTAACTGAATAATCTTAACCGTTTCCAGCAATTCATTTTCTTGTAACCTTTCTGTGGGTATTTATGATTTTCTTTCTCCCTCCAATTATTTTGTTTATTCGACTTGATAATAGAATTCAATTGAACTTTTGTGTGCTTTTTTCTCGGTTTATTTTTGGTTTTTCGGGATAGATCTGTATGAAAGAGAAACAATTATTTGTCTTTCGATTATTTATACTTTGAATATCTGTGCATGTAAATATAGATTTAAAAATAAATTCAAGTTCTTGTTTTTTCATGCTCTTCTATATGATAATTACATTGTGTCAGATTACTATATAAACAATGACTGATCACATCATTCTTCTGCAATAATAGATATCCAGTGACAAAACATATAATTCATCAGTTCAAAACATGACTGGAAAATTATATATACTCAATTATTTACGAGTTAGTTCGTTATTGAAGCTTTAGTAAATAAGGTAAAACAGTCTACAAAAAAAACCAATATTACCTTTCTAATTTACTATCAAGCAAAAGAACAAAGGTTCTTTATTTGATCTTATATAGGCAAAAAAATACATGTTTGATAAGTCGACCAGTTCTTTTTATTCTTTCGGTGATGTTTGATTTTGTTGTACTTGTTGTCTATCTACTTACGTTGATGTCAATCTGCTATAATGATTATGAATCATATTGACGAATGGAGTTTTTAAAAATATCCAAAAATAGAATGCTATTAGACGCGTAGAATCAAGTTAATAGAATATGATTGGGACATATTCTATATTGAGATGATTGTAAATCTTGTTTTGTAAGTAGATTGCCAGATGTTATTATAGTACAGTTTAATGACATGACACATATGTAATAATATTATTTATACAGTTAGACATTACACAGCGAAAAAGTGATATTTCAATTTGGATTCCATAATTATCTTTTTTTACTGCAAAAGATATAGCATATTTATTACACATTAGTTTTATTATTGAATTCTTCTTTTATGTTGATATATAATAAAAATAATAATAAAACTAGTGGTTATAATTTCATTTCATCAATTTTATATTAGAATTCGGATGTGATTTTTTCTGAGCTCGTAATTAGCCCACAATTGTACCCAGTAAAAAATATTCGGGCCCAAAAAAACGTTTTTTCGTGTTTAGAGCCCGTAATAGAAAATCAGACCAGTAATCGCTTGTTTTGAGCCCACTAAAGTTTATTTATTATGACAAATGAAAATAACATGATTATACAGAAAAAAAAAATAAAGAACATACTGAAAAAATTAACGAGATAAAGCTGATCCTGCTTTCTTTCGTTGTTCACGTCGTTTACCTAAATTTTCCAATTTACTTGGATCAGATATTATCTAAAAGCCAAAATAAATCGAAGTACCAACTGCATGTTTACAAACATGTCTTCAAATTAGTTCGGCAGCTGCACGTCATTGGTAATGTCACAAACCGAGTTGCAAACAACCACCTTGAAAAATCATCAAATATTTTCCACCAATGAAGAAGAAAGTTTTTATCAAGATGTTTCAACCAATTCCATGGTTCTTTTTCTTGTTCAATATTAATTTTAGGAAATGTTTGAAATTCATCTTCAATTATTTTTGTCGGCCAAACACGTAACATTGTTTGCATAGTAGCAAGAAATTTTGATAAGGATAATTACTTCTTAATGTAAAGTGTTGCTTTATTTTGTTATTAAGTGATTCAAGTCCATTGTTTGTCGATGGACATCCGAATACAGTACCTTCGTACCAAAATTTGAAGTCCAATACCCACGTTTGTTCGCAGTAATTCGAAAAAATAATAAATCTTGATCAGATCTCCATTTTGTCAATAACAATGATTCAATATATTCCAGTAATACTTAATCCGTAAATTACGCAATGAAAGTTTCTATCTTGAGGATGAATTTTGTCCTCCATACGATATCAGCGCAATCTCTCATAATCCGGGCTCAAAAACAACCATGACCACCGGGTTCATTATATACTTCGAGCTCAAAAAACACAAAATATTTTTTTGAGCCCGAACATATTTCTCTGGGCTCAAATCAAACCACCTGGACTCACTTCTGGGTTAATTATGGGCTAAGAACACAATTTTTCCTAAAAATTCGACATTTCGATTATCTAAGTGATCATTTATCAAGAAGTAAATCACGAACAAATATAGGAAATTCTACACACAATCTAATAATAATTGAAGCCCGAAAGATCACAAGAAATAATTTAATTTTCAATCACTTCTTCATAATGATCACTTAGATGATCAAAATGTCGAATTTTAATATAAAATTGTTGAAATAAAATTATAACCACGATTTTGATTATTATTTTTATTGTACTATTATATTCCCTTTTACAATTAAATATTGAAAATGTTTATGTATGCTAAATCTTAAATTCCTGTATAGGAAGATTTGAAATAAACTTTTGATAAATACTTGAAAAGAAATCAATTCTTAATAACTAATCCTGAATTTTAAGTTTGATTACATATTAGCACCATTCTATTCTACGAAATTTAATTTTCAATTTTGATTACTTTGACTTCAATACTATTAAAACAACTGTATGAATTCAGCAAACAATCATTAATTACGAACTATAAGTATTCATTGTGCTTGATTTTTGAAATTTATTTTTAGATTAGTTCTTTGAACAAAGCAACCAAGAAATTCTCTCAACTGAAGGTAGTGAGTTAATCAAAGTTGGGTTAGCACAGGTAACGCCCAACCATCAGTAGAGAGAAAAATGTAATAAGTACTATCATTGGCACGATATTTTATGGATATCCTCCATGATTCTAGGGCACTGCTATGTCATTCACGATCTTCTGGTTACGCGTCGGAATGAAGGAAGGGTCATATGAAACAAAAGGCACTTGCTCCGATGCATATATATTTACTTGCCCTTGTGTATAGTCATGTGTGCAAAAATATTCATTTACGTTTACAACTAAAACTATTTACAATTGACTTGGTGCGCTGCGCCTGTGGTCAATCGGATGTTTTCGGCTCTAGTCTGGTGCAATCAGACTTTTTCATGTTGGGTGTGGATGTCAATGGGGAAATGCATTCCAGCACACCAGCATCCGTCGTCATAGAACATTATCAGAATTTATCAGTTATGAATACTAAGTTCGTTACAAATATTCCCATGTATTATGAAAAGATTAAATATTTTTACACTTCTTACATAAAAAAATAATCATATACAATGTTGGAGTTGTAAAAATAAGAATATTCTAACTAATCTAAGAACTACTAGGATTTCAGTCACAATAGTTACAAAACTCCCCATACTCAATGAAAGAAAGTCTTTCCAACATTTGCCGCTGTCGCGTCGTCAATGTAAAGCAAATAAAGTCTTTTAGATATTTTGTTACTGATTAATTTAGATTAAACTAAATTAAATTAATGATACGATTAGTTTGGAATAAAAAACTAAACGAGATTCTCAAGAAACTACTCTTATTTATAATCGATTAATTTGCTTCTTTAGAATTTTCTTTTCTGGATAAGAATGCAATTCTTCTTTTTATCTATCAGTTTTCGCAATGAAATTTGATTTTGCAAACATCATTATACCAGTTTAAAAGTTTTTAGCTCGATATTGTAGTGGAAGATTATCCGAAAGGAACCAGAAGCGAAGAAGAAAACAATTTTTTGCTTATATTTCTTTTTTATTTTTTGGTTAAATTATCGTTGTTGACCCTTGAAAAAGCTTTGTACTTGATTCCAGAGTTTATATGATAGTACTGTAATGTAAGAAAAAATCATGTCATCCGATAAAATATCAAACGGTCAATTCAATTCACGACACCCGATGCAAAATCCATCACACATGATGACCCATGACAAATTCGGATCTTGTTATATGTGGCATGAGTTTCTTGATACGCGTGACAGTCTATGCCGGCGAATACAGTTCTTCGAATTTTTACCGCAACTTTGCTTCATATACGCACGGAAAAAAATGGCGAAAAAAGCGCGATTTTTACAGGTCACGGGCGTCAGACCATTTATTCGTCTTTTCGAAACCGGTACGAACCATCCTTTTCATAAGAGGCGGCTTTCTTGTATCGCGATACACCACGGTTTCTCCAGTCGCATCAGGGTGACCAAATTTGACTGGAGATCGGAGAACTTGTCTGAACTTCTACCGAAACCCAGAAAGGTTGCCCTTCGAGGGGTGATGTAGTGAACTTTTTGAAGTTTCATTACCATCAAGTGACTTTGCAATGTCAGATTGATTGTCTGAATATTCGAAACTTTCATAGAAATAGTGGGCACGACATCCTAATCATTCTTACACATTTTCTCATACTTCAATATAAAGTGAAAGAAACATATAACTGCGGTGCGGTGCGGTGTTCAAAAGACGCTGTAAGACGCGATTTTGAAGCCAAGACTAACCACGATGTAAAATACCGTAATTTTTAATAGGCATACGCGCTTTTTTAAACTACGACTAGCCGCGATATATAATATCGTGGTCAACTGTAGTTTTACTAAAACAATTTTTCCGTAGGTGGTAGGTAAACGGACCGTAATTTCTCATAATCTAGAGCACAGTAGTACGGCGTCCTGTGGAATACGTGAGTGAAATTAGTAGCCGATGTGACTAATTCCAACGGCGATTCGGCCAGGGTATGTTTATACCAGTACGACGCCTACAAAGAATTCGAAATATCTAATAATTTCTTTCGCTTATGAAAATTACTTCTTGATCTTCACGAGCATCATCACTAGCACAGCGACTATGAGCAGTTGAATACTTAACGGTATCGACATGTTGACTCCTTCGAATTTGATCAAAAGAATATCAAAGATCAGAAACATATAAAACATCACTGACTATAACATGATAAGTGTATGAGTTACTTAGAATCCGGGAGTGTCTCAGTAGAAAATTAGTAGTTGACCCGGAGATTTTACCGAAAANGGAAAATGTAAAGACTTCCATAAATTACTTAGTACCTTTCAACGCTCGTATTCCAATTTTTTATTTATTTTTTGAGCCTCCCCTAAATTTACTTTGCTCCGCCGCCTATGTGCCAATATGAGAAAAATCAACCTATCGAGTGTCCCAGAATAAACGGACCTCCCAGTATTTGACTGACATCTCTCGTAAATTTCATCTTCTCGAGGCCAAATTTTTTTTTTTAAAGATTTGTCTGAACATCCTCTACAAGGATCCGTGATTTGTTTCTCGCTTGAGAATTTTGTGTATTTTTAATAAAATGGAAAGCAAAGATTTACAAAAAGTAGTACTTCGTAAGTACGAAGAGGGTGATACCTCGATAAAAATCTTTCGTGATTTGAACGGGTGTTTGGGATTAACCACCATCAAGAGATGGTGCAAAATGATACGTGACACCGGCTCTATCGAGCTACAGAAGCCATATGGTCGACCACGTTTAGCTCGTACTAGTGAAGTTATTCAAAAGGTCAAACACAAACTTGCACGAAACCAAGTATCAGTGCGAGGTTTAGCGAAGGATATGGGAATTTTCAAGTCAACGACGCACTGAATATCGAGAGAAGATCTCAAACTTTATCCGTACAATGTGGTCATCGTGCCAAAACTTACTGATGAACACAAAAACAAGCGGAAAAAATTCGCCAAATGGATTTTCAATCATTTTCGGAAGGAGGACACTATGCAAATTTTATTTTCAGATGAGAAAATCTTCGATGTTGACGGCATCTACAATGCACAAAACCAACGTATTTGGGCTGCCAGTCGTACAGAAGCCGATGAGAGAGGAGGTGTCCAGATGAGACAACAATTCTCAAAGAAAGTCATGGTCTGGCTAGGGGTTTGCTCCAAAGGAATGACACCCCTGGTCATTTTTGACCAAGGGACAGTAGATCATGCTCAATATATTGATAATGTTCTACCAATAGCCCTGGAATATGGCAATAAAACTTTTGGAGAAAATTGGATATTTCAACAGAACGGTGCGAGACCTCATATCCATCATCTTACTAAAAAATGGTGTTTAGATAATTTTCCATCGTTCATAGATAAAGATCATTGGCCACCGAATAGTCCGGATCTTAATCCAATGGACTATTGTATTTGGGACGAATTTGCAGAGGCTATCGATTGGTGTCAGGTAATATCGAAAGAAACTCTCATTAGAGAATTAAAACGAGCAGTAAAAAAGATTCGAACAAATGTTATTCTAGGATCTTGTTCATCTTGGACTATTCGTTTGCAACGTGTTTCGAAAAATAACGGATCGTTTTTGAAGAAATAAAAAATTATCTACCTTGTAGAGAATTTTCAGACGAATCTTTAAAAAAAAATTTAGCCTCGAGACATCATTTCAATGACTGATGTCATTAAAATCATCAATTAATCTATGATGTGCTCAATAAAAATTTCTTTCGAAGTACTGTGTTGAGTGTTAAGATCCATTTTGGATAAAATGTTTTGTTACAAAAAATTTTCTTCGGGCCTGGGCCGGGCCGTTACAGTTAGGAGTTGGGCCGGGCGGGCCCTCAAAACTCTCGGGCCACTTTGGGCCGGGCCGGACCATAGATAAGTGGCCCGTTTCGAGCCCTGTTATGTAAAGATTTCAAAAACTTAGCTCAACTAAAACAGCAAAAAAAAAACATGCTGTGAAAAAGTTACAGTTTAGATAATACACTACATATAGGGAAAAATGAAAATTTGATGAATATAGAAGAAAATTTTTTTTGAGAAAAAAATCTCGCGATGGAATCACATTTTTAAAAAATGGTCTTGTTTTATTTTATATTTATTTTTATTTTTTCAGAAATTTAACTATGGGTTCTCAGAATAAAAACCTAATGTGCACTGTAAAAAACCGATCAAGGACAAGCATTTTATGTACAACCCCTTTACTTATCAGAACATATATAGAAAACAATACTATAAGAAAAAAAAATACGATATTTTTATTTTCTTGCAAAAGCAAAGATTTAGTCATTCGAGAGTGTGATATTCAGTTACGCTCTCCTAGCGGATCTGGAATGTTCTCAAAAAAAAGGCTAATCAATTCTTTACATAGAGCATTCATTTATGCATCAGGAACATCTTGTTTTTGAATAATACTGAATGACACAGTATTCTCGCGTCCAAATAACCTTCACAAATGGACTAATTTTTAAATATAAATAGCTTTCTTTGAAAAATTTACAAGACTTAGGCGTCTTGTTATGACTAAAGAGTATTCAATGCAGTTTTAGAACATTCAATGAGTTTTGAAAAAAAAATACATGTTTTTTCGAAAGATGCGAAAATAAAAAAGGTATGGGTATGGATATCCTCGTTGAACGCCTATACCCACACCCTTTATCCTGTTGTTATTAGTGAAGAGTTTTCTTTCATTGTGTTGGTCAAATTCAAATACGTGATTTATTAGCTGCATTTAAATCACGAAAAACACAATTAATACATATACCAAGTAAAAGCTGTTAGCGCAATCCCTGCGGGATTAAAATGTGAAACATGACGATCTTGTTATTGCTAATCCTCTAAAAACTGATCTTTTTTTATGTATATTTGGGTATATTTCTTCATCATTGCTTGCTTTACAGCATGCAACTTCAATAAGAAAAGACTCCATATATATTCCAATCAGATGTTAGTTATACATGATCTTCGATAGTTCCTTGAAGTTGTCTGTCATTGTCTTTGATGCGTGTTGGGTGGGAAAGGAATGTTTGTCAAGGTGTGTGATGGGCTCTCAAAACCATCTGTCATAGTCTGCAGGGGGTTCAAATTTCTACCCTATATACTACAACATTTCTTTTAGGTCGTGATTCACAAAATGAAGTGCTCATTCACTTATCAGCCTTGTATCAACTATTTCGCTGAAAGAACATATTTCAGTTTGTTCGATAAACAGTAACTTGAATCCATAGCGATTGGCCCAACTAAAAGTTTTTATTTCTTCATCGACAATTTTTTTTTGCAGTGCTTTTAAAAGTATATTTTATTGCATACGATTGTCTTAGAATGAAAATACAAATACAAATACAAATTTCGGCTCTCTTTTTGTCTAGTTGAATGTAGTATTCAAAATATATTTCTACCTTCTATACTACTTTATTTCAAAAACTTACAGCAACACTATATTTTTGCATTAGGAAAATACTTTATTAAACGTTTCGATAATTGAAATTGACCATAAATACGCAAAGAATTTACTTTGGCAGAATTGAATCGGGTTGCAGCTCTTCTAAAATTGTTTGTCACTCTTTTCAAAGATTCATAATAAGCATAAATGCAAATATTATCAATTAAGAACGTTTTAGTGTTAACCAGGAATTGTTCGAGGTAATCATCACTAACATCGAGAAAATCTAATTCAATTAGATGAGGATATTCAATGATTGATAAATATTCATTATTGTTCTTTGCTTTTTGATTTTGTGGTGTTAGATTAATCATAGATAATTTTTTCAACAGTGGAAATGCTTGAGCAATTCGAACAAAAAATTCATGTTCGAAAGGACGATCATCAAATAATGATACTTCACGAACACATTTGAATAATCCACCTGAAAAGCTATTTGTAATATTATGATAATATTTCAATGTATACGGATATGAATAGAAATGGCATTGAGCACGTCTTTCAGTAAAAAAATAATCAAAATAATAAATAATTTGACTGTCCCCAAGATCTGTCAATGTATGTTGTATTTCTTCACTTGTTAGTAAATCACTTGAATCACAATTATGAATAAATGAACGAATATTGAAGATGAATTTGTTCAATTTTGGTAAGTGATTAATAATATTGTTTTTCAAATTGTTTCCATCTATAAATGTTCTTTGTTCAACAGCAATATATAAAGCAAGTTTTTCCAGGTTCGTCATTCGCTGAACAAGTTCTACGATTGATTCATTATAAAAAATTATTTCTGATTTACTCATCAACAAAAAACATCGCATATTAGGCAATAGTTTCTAAAAAGAATAGTGTGGAATAAAAATGTAAGATCTTCTAAAGTGACCTACCTTGTCTTTGATCATTTTCGACGGCGGAGTAAAAAAATCAATGTCAACATAAAATGTATGAAGTTGATTTAAACGACCATCGAGCAAATAAAGACACTCATTTAAACTTGCAACATTGATATGCAACTCGAGCAAAGTTGAAGAGAAAAATGTTGGAGTCTTATCATAAAATGATTGTCGTCGCAAATCCGATTCCGCAAATGGATCACAATTTAAATAAAGTAGATTATTAAACACAGTTAAAACAATGGTAAAGATTGATGTTACAAAATCACTTTTTGATGTTTGCGTTCCATTACCAATCATTGTAATAACAAGTGATTGAATTTTTTTGTTGAATATATGGAATACAGGAGATCCGTCTAAGCATACATGCAAAATATATTATTTATTGATTTCACTTATTATTTTAGATATTTCTATGATTCTCTTTCGATTAACTTTTAATGATCAAGATGTACAACTCAAATAACCTAAAAAATAATTTAATATATATATATATATATCAGTGTTCGACATGGGTCAACTTTTTTTGACCCGACTCGCCCCGAGGACAACTATTTTTTTTCATGACCTGACGCTATCTGAGCCGAGTCGGACTCTGTTGTCGACCAATTGTCTATTTCTCAGGAGAAAAATCAACTTATTAATCCTTTTTTCGTCTTCTTTTTTCGTAGTTGGAAACAGAGGATATGCCATTGATATCTCGCCGATATTACGCAGTTAGGACAACACGGATATATGACATTGTTTTCTTGTTTGTTTTTCTATTTTTATGTACGCAACCTGCACTCCTTGTGCCACTATTGAACAGACAGTGTACTCGCTTTGCATCATTGTTCAAAGTGATTAAAAAGTCGATCAAGTAGAAGAAAAGATCGTGTGATACAAAACTTGTTCTACTAAGCTTGTTCAAGCTCTCTTATGGAACTTTGAACTGAAAAGAAAGACATTCCAAGTTCCCTTTGTATCTGCAAAATGTTCAGACTGCAGATCCATTCCGAAGTTCAAAGATTTTTTTCGTAACTCGACTCCACCCGTGTCGGACATTGATATGTATTCTTTTGTTTTGCAATAGTTTCCCTGCTATTATAAAAATGCACCCGTTGCCTTATAATCTGCCCCACCCCCTTACTAGTGCAAAAACGTACATTTTGACTCCGTTAATACTCCTCCCATTGATAAGAACTAGACCAAACGAGTCTCGTACCAACTGATCATTGCTATAACAATCCATCCATTGCCCTACAACCCCCTCCCTCATCGTTGAGAAAAATTTATTTTTTACCTTACAGACTCATCCCATCAGGGGTGGCGAGTGGTGGGAGAGGCGCAAAACCTCGAATTAAAACTTACACGCACTATTTTCCTTCGAAAAATATGAGATCTACAAAATGCATTTTTCTAGATTACGTCAGACGTCATGGAACATCATTGAAGAAATACTTTTTTCTTTAAGAAAACATATGTTGAAAGAACTAAAATTACAAATGACTGAAATTATATTTTGTACATTGTTTATTTTAAGAATATTCAAATACATTTTCGATGTTTTATTTGCTTCTTCTATCACTATTTATGGATCTCTTCTGATCACTTAGTTTCCATGAGTTTTAATAATTAAAACATATGTCATGATTTCCTTAAATATATATGAATTAAATCAAAATAATCATATTTATTTCTTATGCTTTCACGATTAAAAATAGTCGAAATGCTGTATCTTACCTGCGAAAACACGTTCAGCAGTCTTCTTATCAACGTTGTAAAGACCAAGATTATGTAAATTAGGATAATCAGCAGCAAGAAGAATGCGTTCCATAGATAATGATTCAAGATTAAGCCAATTGATTTTATAATGTATCTGAGGTAATATTTGTAAACAAAATCGATCAATTACTGTGTCAACCAATGGACAAATAAGACAATTAGAAAAATATCTTAATAATGTTAAATTTCTAGTAAAGACTGGATCAGATATAATTCTATCCAATCGTGTGTTGATATTCATAAGAGAATAGAGTAATGCAGCATTATTCAGGTTCTTAAAAATCATCAGAAATAATTCATCAGGCAAATCGATCAATTGACCAATTGAATATTTCATGTTCGTATTCGTTTGAAAATTGTTTGTCATTTTTCAAATATCAACAACAATATGTATATTGTTGTTGCGTATTCACTTCTTCTATTTGATCGCTGCCGGCAGTGAAAGAAAAGAATGATGCATTGTTCTCTTGCACACATGAACGCTCAATGCACGAATGAATGATTTTATTTCTTTTTATTTCAGGCAACAATTCTCATATTATAGACATCTCCATAATCTATTAACAGTAGTGTGCATGGCCAACATGCAGCAGAAATAATTTTGTTGGTTAGAACTCAAATTGTCAAAAATAGAAATTGATTTTGTGTACCTCAATTATTTTAAAACACGATATTATCCCTCTATGCATATTAAATTCATATTTTTCAGTCTCATCTAATTATTCACAAGGCATTAGAAATTATAATCTCTTTAATTAATGGTCAATGTATATTGACACCCTTTCTACATAGGTTAATAATTATTTAACTACCAACCTTAACAGATTATGTGATTCAAGTGTATTTGATGGCCGTTCATTACGACTTCATGTTGATGCTAATGAAGCAAAAGCACTAGCAGATGTAGTTATAGTTTTAAGTAATGCATTTACAAGATGATGACTACAGTCATAAGATACAGCATGTATACGTAGTGTATCTTCTCCGGAAAATAATTGTGACATATAATCACTAATAACATCAATATTTTGATCAGGTAAACTTCCAACAATAAATAAAAGTGTATCAAAATCCGACATTAATGATACAGGACCTAAGGCTAAAATTTTAGAAAATTTTATTTAGAAAATAAAAACAAGTTTCTTTTTGTAGGATTACCTTTTAATAAATTACTATTACTAGTCTTAAACGCACATTTGCTATTTTTAGTTGGACATGTACTACCCAGGTCGAAAAGTACGGGCCCTTCAGGCAGAAAAATACCAGAAATCGCCGAAACATGGAAGCAGTATTCCTGTCAGAAATTTTCCGGTGAATTTCAACCAATTTGCTGTTTTCCGACAGGAACCGACGGAAAAATCATCGGAAAATTTGCGGTCGGAATACTGCTTCCAGTTACCGCTATTTCCCGTGTTTTCCTGCAGGATACGGTGATTTTTCTCGCACTTTTCTGCAGTATCCGGTTATCGGAACACACGACCTGGATATCAATATGCATACGATTTTCATCACTACAGCCAAATAATGATTTCAAATTAGCTAACCATGCATGTAATTCATCGAATGCTCGTGTATTAACATCACACACTCCATTTTTATAAAGCATCAGTTCCATTTGCAATAAAACCTAATTGCTCTTTGAAAATTAATTGTTGATTAATGAATTCCATTAAGTGTTTATGATATTTATCTCCACGTCCAAAACTTACTTGTCCTTCACTAAAATCTACAATAACTATAGTTCATCCAAAAAGTCCGTGCGTGTGACTATTATTTAAATAACTCGAGAACAAAAAGAGATATAAACCTGTGGTTTTCACCATTGCGTAGAGCTTGGAATACTCTATCAATCCATTAATACAAGATGAAAAACATCGACTTTTCAGGTAATGTTCATTATCGATCTTTGAAAGATGTGAACGTAGTTGCCTTAAGTTTTATAGTGAGTTATCGGTTTTAAATATGTAAAAGATAACCCAGAGAATCTTCTACGAAATGGCGAAAGGCCGACCTGTCCAGCTATTATAATTCAAAAATGTCACACATTTTCCTGAAGACTATACAAGTGATTTTTAGTCAATAGGGTGGACTGCAAATATGTATAGTAAAGCTCGTTGTTGATAATTGTTTACATTGTAAGAATGACTGTTTTTGGTCTCAAACAACTTTGATAATAAAAGATGATGAACTATACTATGCAGAAAGAGTATAGATTCAAAATATGTGATTAAAATGGAAAATGAAATAGTGTAATATTATGATCAACATATTACAGAGTATCACATATTGATATAAACAAACATCTAATTCTTATATACTATATTCTTCTAGTTACGTCGTCTTTGCTATGTTACCTTAATGTTCTGATAGGTATTGATTTGTTTTCTTTTCAACAGTTTGGTCATCCAAGACTTCTCTCTGAAGAAGCAACACTAACAAAAACCGGTGTGTGGGTGTGGGTTCTGGTGTAGATACAGAGAAGACCGATACCCACACCCATCAATAATTAATATCACTATTTCACAAAAATCAAATCTATAACATCGATAATAAATCATAAAGAGAAAAGAATAAAATCCTTCTGTTTTTCTTACTTGCCAAAAAGCTTAGAATTTTTCGAAGAATGACAATAAACATATGATACAATGCTGAACAAAGTAAACATACAATAGCTACAAGAAAAAATACATGAGACATTAACTTTTTTCCTTGTGTACTTCAGTAGCCGATCGTAAAGAAAATTAAATTATAATTCTAAGATAAACAAATGTACCTAATAGATGTGTTCATATATTAATTATTTCTGTACGTAAACGAAATATTGATGCAAAGCATTGTTTAACACTTTGCATTGTTGAACGATGTCCAGATATTAAAAATTCATTATCAATAAGCCAATGTAGAAGATTACTATAACCAACAGCATAATCAACAACAAATTTACCAATTTCTCTTGCTTATTCGACACATTATGTTAGAATTTCAAGAACGAAATTCATTAAATCATGTCTTTCATCATACGAAGATTTTTCATACAAATCAATTTGGGTTGCATTCTAAAATAAAATATATTTTGAAATAAGTAATCGTGATTTCTGTTTTATTCAATATATTATGATTGAAAAAAAAACTTGAAATATTTTCACTAATAGATTACGTCATGTTTAGAGATGATCTGGGTCATTTTACTATTTTGCTCGAGTTAGATTAGATAAATAAGTATTTAATTATTAACAAATGAGAAGAAGAACATACAAGGAATATTATATTGACTTAATTAAATAAGAAGAACCATTAATGACTATTAAAAGAAAGAAAACATTCAATTCAGGATGAGAATAAGAAAGATTGAAAATTTGAAGATGATCTAACCAGCATTGAATTGAATCACGACAAAATGTATTGTCTATAAAAGTAAAACTATGGAAGATTTCAAGAAGTTTGTTTACTAAATATAAATATTTTCAATAGTTACTTGTGTATATGAGTAACAGATTGATGAGGAAACTTCACTAAAGAGAGAGCAATTACAACTGTAACCCACCGTTTGAGTTCCTATTGGCCCCATAAATGTTTTTCGATAAGACTACAAAAAAACTTATAAGAAAGTTTGACATCATTGGCCTTTGGAATCGAGTTACGACCGTTATACTGAATTTTCGACCTGAAGTTTTGCACATAGATAAATTTAATACTTCTTAGAATGCCCTGAAAATTTCAACCGAAAAACAATCTTCCTTTGTTGAGTTACTAAATTGCCAAAAAACAGTCGTAAGATGACCAACATATCACAAAAATTGGTTTGAAAGTGCAATATTTCAACAACAGAAGATTCTTTTCAACTGAAACTTTCGGAACATTCCAAAGGCCATTATATTTATTTATGAACAACATTTCAAGTCCAAGTTCTATTATTTGATTTTTCAGTAATCACCTAACAATGGGTCGAAAACTCATTACAACGGTCATAGCTCGACTCTAACAGCCCATGAAAATAAACTCGAGTTTTAGACTTTTTCTAGTCTTATCGAAACTATCGGCATGTGAAATGAGTATATTAGCTTGAGTTCATTTTATTAAAGTTCATCTGACAATAGAACATCAATACTTCATTGTAATTCAAGATTTGAGTGTCAATGAAATACCAGTGAGTAAGACGAAAAAGAGCATATGTACAACAGATGAATAGAAAAAGAAAAGAACAAGAACATATGTATACTAGTTGAACCGAAGAGAAGAGAAGTGAAGCACTGTGTAACAGTTTACTTCTTCTCTGAGTGCAAAATTTGACAAGAACGTACTGACTGAAATAGGTCAATAATTCATGTGTATCTGAAAAACAAATGTCAATCTTTATAAAAATCACAGAGAAATTTTTAATTAACACTTGTTGATGGCAATCCGTCGGCGAAGACTTTTTATGGAAGGCTTTTGCATCATAGTGTCCATTTTTAACATGTAACATTCATGAAACATAATGACATTGTTGGAAGGTGTGAAAGAGGATAAACAGCTAGATTAAAAAGAACTAACGCAATACGAATCACATTATTACATTAATTGTTGACTTATACTCTAAAAACAAAATCTAGCACATCTTCATCAGAAAAGCACAGCTATTCCTCTTTGATTGCCTTTTTAACCCTCGAAGATCGGCTAGTGATTACTTTCTATTGTCATTAACTGTGTTTAACAAAAGATGGAGTTTAGTGACGTCATTCGTCAGCAGCATGTGTCCACCTCCGCGCTGCATAATATGAAACTGATTAATAAAGTCTTATTTTTTGAAGTATCTGAATCGGAAACTGAATGCGTTGATCTTTTACTCCATTGAGTTTTTTTTACAATATACTCTCATAGTGCGTAATTGGAATAATGATATATCAAGAATAAGTCAAGCTTTCACTTCATCACATTTGATGTTATAAATGAGCACGATATTCGAGTTCTTTTTGCATACACTTTAACTAAACATGGGTTGTAATTCATCACGAGTGGCAAATACACCGAGTTTATTAACAGCTGAACAGAGCCATTTTCTTGTTCGAGATAATTGGACCGATGTATGCAATAGATATTACGAAGAAGTTGGCATTAGTTTTATGGTTCGGTATATTAAGTTATGTTTTTAAATAACTCAATCGAATGTAGATCTTTTTTTCTAGAATTTTTCAAGATTATCCTGAACTAAGAAAACTCTGGATTTTTGCCGCTACTCTTGAAGTGGAAGAAGAAATTCGGAAAAATTCACAAGTACGTTATCATGCTGCAAAAATCATGTATACTCTTAACGAAATTATCAATAATATCGATGATTATGACAAACGACGTCGTATTCTCGAAAGTCTTGGTCAGATCCATTTTATGTACGATGTACAACCGGCCTATTTTCAGGTAGATTTTAGTCATGAATATGAATAAAAATTTGAATTATCTTATTTGGAATAGGCAGCAAAGTCCTGTATGGAAAATGTATTAAGTTCGATACTAGGCAAAAATTTTACACATCGTCATAAGCAAGCATGGACATATCTTTTTCAGCAGATTGTTGTCGATTTAGGTAGAGGTGTCGAACAACAGGCAGTTCTTGCTGGTCGTCTCAAGAAAGAAATCAACATTATTACCGAACATCCGATGTAGCCACTACCAAATCTTTTTTTTTTTGCTTTCTACTTTTAACATGTATATGTTGCATAGTTGGAACCGGTCCGATTTTTTAAAACCGGAACGAACCAACCGGTCAAACTTTCTTGACTTTACCGGAGAGAAACCAGTGCATTTCATGCATCAGTTAACCAATCAATACTTTCGAGAAACAGTCTACTACTTCAGTTTGGCGAAGATATAAGATGCAAAAGTCCTATATTTCTTGGAGTTTCTAATAGTAGCATCTCCTAAGTTAGTCAATCACGTTTTATGTGTTAACATTAAGAACGAACGATGATTTATTTCAAAAACTTTTGACTGAGAACGCACAGCAACTAATATTGAAGACTATCTAATTATGCTTTGGAGATATTTTCTCAATAGCAATATGATGTTTTCATGAAGGATAAGTTTGATCTATCGTTATTTAAAATAACTATTGAACATAGCTGAAAGACATCTCAATTTGCAAAAGAAACATACTACTCCAGACAGAATGATAAGATGAGCTAAAGCGTACAGCTTTTATATCAGACATCCCATTTTAAGGTTTCTTAATGTCTAAGGGTGTGGGGTGTGGGTGTGGGTGTGGATGGGATGTGCGTGTAGGTGTGAATGTGGGTGCAAACAAGACTCATACCGACACGTACCCACGTCCTCACTCACCCTTGTCAATCGATCCACTGGACCCATATTTTTCATAGCATGGTAGCGAGGATAGGTATGTATAGAATTAATATAGCTCACATTGTTCAGTTTTTAACACTGTTCTATAAAACATGGAGGAAATATTCTTGTCAAACAGACTAAACTTTTCTTATACTATTTTTTACGCAAATGGATCAATACTCTAAAGTTGATCAGAGCCACATGTTCAATGAAGCACTAGTAGGACCTACACAATCAACTATGATAGCCTCAGGAGTTGTTGTGTTGAGTAAGTATTGTAGATTGCAAAACAAATTTTGACACATGAGGTATACGATGCAGTGGTGCTTGAGGATATTCTCTTAGAAGAGAGAAAGAACAATGTGAAGCAAATTCGTTCAATATTTATTATAGGTTTCATTAGTATTGAAAATCAAAATTCGCTGTAAAACGAGTCATGGTTTCTCGAAAAACGAATCTGGAGATGATTGCTGGGCATAAACCACCCAAAAGATTTTGTTTTTTTTTAAACAATATTTTGATTCGAAGCTTATTTGTCTGCTTTTCTTGCATTAGAATCAACAAAGCTACTACAAATACAAACACTCATAAAATCATCCATCTTTATTCTTTTTTAATTGCTGGTATTTGTTTGAAAAAGCAATGCAGAGAAGAATGAATTTATTTAATGAAAAAACAAACTGTGTATCCTCTCTAACTTCTTCAATAGAGTAAAAGAACCTAATGAAGATTATATTTAAATTTTGTTGCAGTAACGTAATTTCATTTGAAAATATTAACGTGATGGAGCAATAGTTTTTCGCTACAATTGTAATGTGAGTGCCTATGTATTTCTGTACCTTGATAATTTTATCTTTCTTTGAGAGTAGCGACTACACTTGCATCATATCAGGTAAGTAGGTTTTATTTATTGAATATAAATTCGAGGAAACCGATCCTACACCAACTATGCTCTTGTGAATTAAGTCAACGAGAGCATTTATCAGCTTGTCGATGTAAAGTTCGTCACATAAGTCAGATGTTCAAGAAAATGTTCTAGTATATGTTGAAGCTCTATCATCTGTATATGAGCATGAAAATTAGATTTATTATTTACTTTCAAAGTTGCATTTATTCTATTGCAATTTTCAAAGCAATGATATTTTGCAAGGTTAAACATATCACGTGTAAGAATAAGATGTCGTGGTAGCGACCACGACCGAGATAGTTTGATCAATATAAAAACAAACGAGAAAGTTTGCATGCTCATTGCGCGCCTGATTTCTTCTATGACTTTTCACTCACAATCCTTAACTATTGATCCTTGATCTTTTATCTCTGACCATAGACCTTTGAATCTTTCAAAGTCAACATGCGAATCCAGTTGACTTTAAAATGTGCAAAGTAATTAAAACGATAATTTTTGGAGCAATCTAAAATCAATTGTAGAATAAAGCTGTCGAAACAATACGAAATAATTCGCTTTTCAACAAATCACAAAAAAAGACAAGCATTACTAACAGTTATTTTTACTTGCATTTTTTATATCAGTCAGCAAGACAGAGTCAGATACTCTTCTTGTGCACCTTTTGGTAAATCTCACTTAAGGTTATATTCCATTGCATGTCGACGTTAAGCACAATAAAGTTCTATTATGTTTTTCACTTCTCAGCATAGGTGATAATAGATTTTGTCATCGTGAAGGCATGTATCATTGACAAAACACAATAGCGATTTCAATAGACACAGGAAAACTTCGAAACAGCATCAGCTGCAAAGATCTCTCATAGTGACAACACATTTTTACTTTAGAATGAAATTCAATAGACTTTTGTTTTTATTTTTTAACTCTACGATAAGCAATCAGTATCCTAAAACAATGAACCTATGTACATCTCGATTATCTTAAATAATTTTTTTTTCAAAACCCTTACTCAAATTATCAATTTCCAAAAGTATTTCATATATTTCAACCATATAGTTAAACAGAAAAATATAAAATGATACCCAGAAATTGAATGTTTTGCTGATCTTCATCTGCTCATTCATTAATTCTCTATATACTCTCCATCATCAAACAAAGTTACGACTTAAATATATACTTAATGCAGTAAAAAAAATTTAACGTGTGTACGAAGCACTGAAAACTGGCCAATCATTCAATGTCCGCATGCCCCATCATCAAAAAAAAATACACGAAAAACAAATACTTGATGTAGAAAAACATAATTATTCATTAATTATTGAAATCTAATCGATCATTTGATGTCCTCATCATGAAAAAAAAATATTGCTGATCTATATATTAGTATCAGAGACTGACGGGACGATCAGAAACTGTCCCGGCAAGGCCCGGCGGGAGTTGTTCAGAGATTGTATCCCGTCCCGTCCTATCTCGCTTAAATATTTTCAATCCCGTCCCGTCCCGCGTCCCGCTACATTTTTTCCAATCCCGTCCCGGCTAATCCCGCGGTCATGTTTTCTCCAAAAGTACAAGGGGTATATATAGAGCTTTTCGCAATGTAAAAATAGAGATGAGGACGTTGTGTAAAGAAGGAACATTATTCGTCTGGATGCATGAGATAACATTCTTGAATGGTAGTAGTAGACGGATTAAACCATCGACGANCAATTAAATAGTGTTGCGTGTCTTATAAAGTTGTCTGTCACCCTCTTCAAAGATTGATAAGTAACATAAAGACGAACATTATTCAGTAAGCATGTTTTAGTGTTAATTAGAAATTGTTCGACATAATCATCATCAACATCGCTCAAATTTAATTCATTTAGATGAAGATATTCAATGATTGAAAAATGTTCATTATTGTCGTTTGCTTTTTGTTGTCCTGTTCGATTAACTACAGATAAGTCTTTCATCAGTGGAAATGATTGAGCAATTCGAATGAAAAATTCATGTTCAAAAGGACGATCATCAAATAATGATACTTGTGTTACACATTTGAATAATCCACTTCGAAAACTATTTGTAATATTATCGTAATATCTTAATGTATATGGATATGAGTAGAAATGACATTGAGCACTTCTTTCTTTTGAAAAATAGTCAACGTAACAAATAACATGATTGTCTTCAAGTCCTGTGAACGAATGCTGTATTTCTTCATTTGACAATAAATGGGTTAGATCGAGAAGAGGCACAAATGAACGAACATTGAAGATAAGTTTGTTTAATTTTGGTAAATGATTAATATCTTTTCTTAAACTGTGGCCATCTAGAAACGTTGTTTGTTCAACAGCAATATATAAAGCAAGCTTTTCCAGATTTGGCATTCGATGAAGGAGCGGAACGATTGATTCATCATAGAAAGGAGTTGGCCATTCAGACATTAATGAAAAAAATCTAATATTCGGCAGTTGTTCCTGAAAGAAAAGTAGGCAATAAAAATTTATTGAGAATTTTGATGTGATAAATAAATAAGCTGTTTGCTTGAAGAAACTTTTTTGAATCTTCTAAAATAACTTACCTTCTTCAAGATAATAGAGTTTCTAAGACCAATAAACTCAATATCAACAAATAACGTATGAAGTTGATTTAAACGACCATCGAGCAAATAAAGGCAATCGTCAAAGTTGGCTACTTGAATGTGCAATTCCATCAAAGTGGAAGAGAAAAATGTTGGGTTTTTGTCATGATACAATATTGACTGAAAGGTCGATTGAAGAAATGGATTATAATTTAAATAACGTAAATTACGGAATACAGTTAAGATGTTTGTAAACATCAATGTAGCCAAGCTTTCATTTGGTACTTTCTTTTCATTATGACTGATTGTAATAAGAAGTGATTGGATTTTTTTGTTGAACGTATCGAATAAAAGTGATTCATCTAAACATAGATTCAAAATATGATATGATTTGTCAATTTAATTAGTTTCTTCAGTTATCCCTATGATTCTTTTTCGAGTAACATTTAACGATTAAAACAAAACACATTTTTCTAAATTATGTTACATATCATTCACGATCAATCATTAAACAATTACTTTTTCCTGAACGAAACTAATATCACAAACAAAATTTGAAATACAATGATTGAAATCATACTTCATATTTTTTTTTCAGAAGGTTCATGTGCAGTTTCGATATTTTCTTTGCTTGTTCTCTCTATCATTCTTTATGGATCTCTCCTACTGATCATTGTTGATTACACAAAGCAAAAACTAGTCGTATTTTTAAGATTAAAAACAATCGAAATGAAATATCTTACTTGAAAAAATACGTTCAGCAATCTTCTCATCAACATTGTAAAGTTCAAGACTATGTAAATTAGGATAATCAGCAGCAAGAAGAATACGTTCCATGGATAATGATTCAAGATTAAGTGTATTGATTTTATGATGTATTTGAGGTAATATTTGTGAACAAAATCGATCAACTACTGTGTCAACTAATGGATAAATAAGATCATTTGATACATGTCTTAGTAATGTTAAATTTCTAGTAAAGATTGAATCAGATACAATTCTATCTAATCGTATGTTGATACCTATAAGAGAATACAGTAACTCAACATTACATATTTTCTTAAAAATCAACAGAAGTAGTTCATCAGACAAATCGATCAATTGAACAATTGTGCGTACCATATTTGTATCTGTCTATTAATGCTTACACAGTTAACACATGTACAACTGCATATAAATATATGGATTATAGTTGTTGTCTATTGATTTGTTTCAGTTGACCGATATCGTCAATAGAAAAAAAGAATGATGTATTCATTCAGTGAAAAATTCTTATACAAGAAACATTTTCGACGTCTATTGATAGTTGTGTAATTGACCAACATGCAAGAAAAAAATCATATAAACTCGAGTTGTAAGGAATAAATTTTTTTTTTTGTGTACTTCAATTAGTTATTTAAAGATAAGATATTATCTCTCTATCGATACTATAATTACTTTGATGTAAATCGTTGTAAATTCCATGAATAATTACTTAAATCTGTATTGATTAAAGTCGCTCTTAATTCCAACAGTCGGAAGGAAAAAAAAGCAGTTTGTCTCAAATAAAATGATCTACTAGGAAATCTTACGATATAGATTTTAAGTGTGTATTGAGAGACACATGATGATTACGACGATATTTTAATCAATAAATTGCTATTAGATTTGGAACGAGATGCATACACTGTTCTATTTGTATCAATCAACATCCTTTATTGAAAAAATGTGTTAGTACTATGTATCATCTATTCGACTCAGACATGATTTATCGTACGCTATGTAATTTGAATCATAGATTCAATCTGATGAAATTGAAATTTTGAATACAAAAATAATTGACTAAATAAACAGATGAACAATAAAAAATTCATATGCATCAAAAAAGACAAATTTCTTCTTATTACTTATTAAACTGATGAGATAAAGTGATAGCCTGAAAAATGGTTGTGCTTTCAGCCTTACATTCTCGTTCTACAATTAAACATCTGACAAATTCATGATAAATAATGCAAAAAAAGAAGTAAAAGTTCAAATAAATGTTATAGATTTATTTTTAATCATTTGTAATAAAGTTGAAAAAGCTCAAATAAGTCACTGTTTGAAAAGTCAAACTCGTCAGAATTTTGTACATAGTAAATGGGAATCTCCTATTTCGAGTATATCATGATAAAATAATCATGGGAATTTATTTCTTCTATATTATTTCCATATTTACAAAGTGATGAAGCACTTGGCATGAAACAAAAGAAACAAATTTCAGATTTATATTGTATTTCAAATAGAAAATAATATGAAAATTTATTTTCTTAAATAACCGAGAATGAGCATTAGAACATTGTCAAACATCACGAGAATCAATTCCTGAAATGAAAACTTGTTCTAATTGTCTGCATAAAAAACATTCCGTGAACCTTTACACCAACAAGATGAACAAGAAGAACACAGACAAAATGAAAGATGAAAACGAAGTCAACAGTTAAAAATAGTTTTACAACAACAAATGAATAAATTCAATCGAAAAGAAGAAAAGCGTCTGTTTAGAAAATAATGCGAATATTTCATTTGAATCTCTACGAGAGTAATGCCATATATAGAGTACATCAGATATTTCACAGATGAGTACAGATGTGAGCGATGCACAATTGGTTAGTCCACATTTGGAAATAAAAGCTTATTCTACTTCTATAAATAAATAAAACTAGAACCGGCTAAATCGAATAGTGAACGGATATTATTTTATGGAAATCCGATTTTCAAAATCTGATGTTTATATTACTTTTTACAGGTGTCAACTTCTTCGACAGCATAGAGCTAAATTACATAAACGAGCAAAAGAAGATTCACACCCATATCCTCAAGATAATTCTTGAAATATTTGTCTTAGACTAATTTACATTTAATACTGGCACCGACATCTAGATGACGTTCATTGAAAATCGTTTCAAAAATAATATTCAATCTGTTTCAATGAAAACTATAGTCTCAATTATTTTCTAGAAACTTTTTAAAATTTAATAGTTGATTGTTTTTCTTTTCCACATTGAAATCGACATTTATTTGCGATACTTGAAATAAATAATAATAAAAAAAGGCAAGATTAAACATGAACGTGTTAAGGGTTGATTGTAGAACTATTTAGTTGTATGTATATCGCATGAATCTTCTCTTTCAACTGCAGGAACATGACCATACACACTAACCAATAGGTTTTATTTTGTTGAGTCGTTGAACATCTGCACTCTAGTCAATTGATATTTTAATATCGATTATGTATTAGTACATAAATAGTAGACGTAATTCAGCATAGCATTGTTTGTTTTTTAGTAGAAATAAAATTGAAAACATATATTGAATTGATTGAAAAAAATATATGTTATGTAGATAATAAGAAATAAAACAAAAATGAAAATTAGATAGATTATCGATGATTTATATTAGTATGGATAATCTCGATTGAAAGACTTTATTTGAAAATCATGAAAATAGAATCTTATCGAAAAATAAATTTGAAATTAAAAAAAACGAAGCCTGTTTAAAAGTTAATCACTTTGAACGCATTCACCAGATTGAACATCGAATATTGTACCTCTTGGACAACAATATTTACTATCTATACAACATTGAACTTGTTTAAAATAAATAAATAAATAAATATAACCATACGTCAGGAAAAGCACAACGAGCATATTCTCCAACAGTTGATCCATAAATTCTACAACATGTTTGACTATTTAAACAAGCAACATCTGATGTTCCACAACGATTATAATTGGTATCTAATGGAGCTCCTCGCCATGATATTGATAAATCACTTAATTCACAAGATAGTTGTTCTTCATTACATATAAAATCATTTCAACAACAAACTGAATCATTTGAACCACAACATACACCTTTTTTTAATCAAAATTTAATTTTCAAAAAATTATTTATTATTTATTCAAGTATGAAAAAAAGAATTACCTTTGAATAAGGATAATATGAATAAGTAATTTGATTATTTTGTTTATTTGGGCAACATGTTGAACTAGATGAACATATTGTTTTATCATCAGGACATGTTTGATCTTTTAATGGAGATAATTTAGAAAATGATGCAAGATTATTATTGATTTTAATTGATAAAAATTGTTGAGTAAATGCTTTTATATCAGTTTTATTTAATGAACTTAAATGACGAATATATCTTTTACAACTATCATCACATGAATAATCATTTCCACAGCAATGAATCTAAAAAAATTTTTGTTTTTCCTTCTTAGACTTTTTTCTTTAAATTTAGCAAACCATGTCTGAAAAACAAGATGCTTGAGGATATGAACAACATCCATAGGTGTCTAAAAATAAAGAAATAATTAACAAAATTAAAATCAAAATCGAACAAACCATCATCTTTCAATGGACAACAAGTTGTTTCTGCAGAACACTATGATTTTCCATCTAGAATTTAATTCATTTATTTAAAATACAAAAGATAATAAATTGAAGAAAACAAACAAACCAGGACATTGAATTGTTGAAATAGTTGATTGAACATTTGAAACAATTAACTTCGATGATATTTTATATAAAGATGGTTGTTGTTTTAACATATCTATTGATCCAAATAATAGATGGTCACATTTATAATGTTCAGGACAATAAACCTTTGTTGTTTCAAAAATTCTTTTTTAATATTTCTTTATATAAAAATAAAAAGCATACTCCTCTTTCTATTGGACAACAACTCCATGTTCCTTCAGATGTTAAACAACATGTTGATGTTGATAGACATAAACCTGTTTTTTTTAAATAACTTGTTATTTTGATTTATTCATTCTTATATTTACTTGCAGCATCTGGACAACTGATTTCTGCATTTGAATTTGACGAGAATTTTAATTCATATTGATTTATTTCTTTATTATGAATAAGATCTGTTAATTCTAATAATAAAATTAAAAAAATATTGCTTTTTTTTTGTTTTTAGAAATTAATTCGAATAAAAAGAAAAAACAAACCAGAGGTCCAACCAGGCTGCGTTTTTGTACGCCTGGCCGGCCTGTGACAGGCCTCTGCATTTCAAGCCTGCCTGTGCCTGTCAACTTATTTGTTTGGCCTGGTCTGTCTGCCTGTCATTTTCTTCGACCTGGGTGTGGGTGTGGGTGTGGGTGCGGACGCGGGTGCGGATGCGGGTATGGGTGTAAGTGTGGATGGGTGGCTGGGTGTCGGTGTTGCTATGGATGTTGTTAAAGATATGTATAACATCCGCACCCACGCTTCTCCTTCATGCTTCTGCTTGGCATTGCTGACATTTAATTGACGTTCTTGAAGAAGAACAATGAAAAATAACACTTCAAATCGATAATAAAACTTACTGTTGTTCAACATTTACACATGTATAACACTGACGATGACTACATTTAGTCAGTTGTACAGGATCTCGTAATATCAATGAACATACAGGACAAATATACTTCGTTTCAAAACTATGTTTATTCTTTGCATCGATGCCTACCATGTTTGTAATTTAATTGATGTGAAATGGAAGATAAATGTTATTAAGATACAAAACCAATTTACTCCTGTCTGCGTAATTTTTTGGCTGTTTTTTTTATTAGATAAAATATAAATAGAAAAAAAAATTCAGAAATGTTAGTACGAACCAGAGATGTCCATCGCGGCTGAAAATCTGCCGCTGCCGCGCCGCCAGGCGTTTTGGAATTTGGTGTTGCACTGCTGCCGCACCGCGCCGCCACGCATAATAAAAAAAACCTATCGCTGCCGCGACGTTATGAATAGGATAGTTTTTAGAGCGTTCTGTCTTCCAGACATTGAATGCAGATACTTTCTTATTTTCACTGTTGGAATTAAAACTGGTTGAATCAGTTATGAATCGATTCAACCGATTGAGTTGAAACGGTTGAAATGGTTATAAGCTATTTTAACTCTAACAGTGCTTATTTTCGTCTTGGGATTATTTCATGCTTTGACAGACATAGAATCATAGGACTTGTTTTTCGCGAAACGCCAGCATCTAAAACACACTGCACTTCATCATTAGATGAAAATGTTCTTTTGATAAAAAACAAAAAATGCTTAACATTTTAACGATCGTTTTATAAGAGCGGGCGATTGTTTAAAGTACTTTATAATTTTCTCTATGGAGCATCTTTATCAAAAAGTTAAGTGTGCCGATTTGTAGCTGCCGATGTTACGGGTAGAAATTCCTATGGTTCTATATCTGTGGAAACATGAAAGAATGCTACGGCGAAATTAAGAAAGTACTCGAAAGTATTTGCGCTCCTTGTCTGCTGTCCTCTAATATAAAAACATGCGTATGTATTATACAATTGATAGATGACGAAACCGCTTACAGTTACGAATTCATTAAAGTTTCAGCCAAATAATAAGTACACATTGAATAATCAAAACCGTTTGAAATCACAAGACTTGTAATTATATAGAAAAAATGGTACAGATCAAGTAAGATATTCATTCTCCATTTGCAGAAAGGATACTTCGTAGTAGAAAGAGCTAGAAATTATGGAAACTTAGGCTCAGTATGAGATTATATAGTGCCAAAGGAGTAAAATGAAATAGAGTGCGATATCATGATCTAGAATACTACGATTTATTACTTCGATGTGTATGATAATAATAATAATAATATTTCCCATAGGCTTATCGCCCGTTGTGGCCGGCGCTAAAGGGTCCACATAAGCAGCCAGGTTCTTTCATCTTTTTCTTTTTACAGACAGCGGTATCTGCACTCCTTCCGTCCAACGTACTGACTAGCGATATATTCAGCACGCTACGAATGAGTCATTCGAGACAACTCAGCCGTTAGTTACTTGTCCAGGGTCATTCCATGGATGGTGATACTGAAGTTTGAACACAGTACCTCGTGGATACGTGTCGAACAACGTAACCACTCAACCATGGCGGCTCGATATGTATGAGTTTAAAGAAAATATTTTGCCTGTGATTGATACAAAAATGGAATTCATATCTGTTACAAAAAAGACTCCGGAGAATTGATTCAGCTATTTAGTATATTTCATATTATTAAAAATTAATTTCATATAAAAATCTTCTACTAGAAAGTAATCATTTGCACGTTGAAGGAGTTTATTTTGCGTTTCCTAAGATTTATCGAGTTCTTTTGATAACCGGCATGCTATTCACTTGATCAGGTAATAGTTTCTATTTTCCATTGTTTACTACCATCCCATTGTAACTAAAAACTCTTTCGGTTTTTAAAGATGTAGCAGATATCGAAAAAGCTTTCGGGCAAGATATTTCAAAAAAGGAAATTCCGAAGATGCCTATTTACTTGACCAAAAGTTAATAATAAGCTGGTGTTCATTAGTGAGAAATGCTCACACAATGAAAATTATTATATTACATGAAAATATAACCAATTGATAGGTATAACAATCATAATACCATAGAATAAGTATCTCAGAAACTTTATGGGCATGCTCTCAAATAAGATCACCATATAATCATACTATGCTGGCACTTATATTTTCTCTTACACGATGAAAGAAGAATTGGTATCTCTTGATTGAAGCAAAAAATCCGGTTCTAATTTGAATCATAATGGAACTATAATCTAAAGTGTTATAGATAATCACAGGAAAAAATGAACAATTTTTTTCAAAACGTCAACCGCTGACGCGCCGCACCGCGACGTAAAAAGAAGAAGTGGCCGCTGCCGCGCCGCTACCGCTATGGTCCTTTTAAAAACCTACCGCTGCCGCGCTGGTAATACTTCGGTCATTTCAAAATCCACCGCTGCCGCGCCGCTACCACCATGGCGGTGGCGGTGCGGCAGCGGTAGCGACAGCGGCAGCACCGCCATGGACATCTCTGATACGAACTAATAAATAGATTACCTTGTAAACAAATAAATAAACAAAAATAATATTTCGTAATCAATTGATGTAATAAATAATTTATCTAGAATTTAGACATTAGTATTAAAATACTATTAGAAAGTCTGGCGCCTGTTGTTGTCGATTGGTAAGGTTTTTGACAGGTTTACATGCGCTGTTCTCTTCGAGAGTATATGTGATTCCCACAAAAAATGTTCGAAGGCATCGGTGGGCCGGGAACACTAGCGACTCTCTGGCAAGGTGTGGCAAGCCAATCGAATTCAAGTGAGCGAAACAATTTTTCTTTCGTTCTCTCAATTTCGATTGGTTTCCCACACCTTGCCACCTAGTCGTTAGTGTTCCCGACCCGCCGATGATCGGTGCAACTAGCGCTCTGTAATGCAATTACTTTTTCTCTGTAAGAAAAAATAATTTCTGTATAAAGCTTTCTCAAAAATGACGCCATTAATCTATCCACAAAAGCTACTTATTCAAGGAAACATCTAAATGTGGAATTTTCTGCATATATTTCTTAAAACAAACTTTTCTTCGGTTAATTTTAAGGTCTTGCTCGACTATATTTGCGCAAAAAACTAATGTTTAAAAAGACGATTCAGCATTAAAATTGAGTTCAGTATCAAAAGCTAAACCGAATAATATATCTTGTGACAAAAATATTTCCCACCGAAACAAATATCCCTGGGACTCGATGAGAGAAAATTTGAAGAAAAGGAGTGAGGGAAAGTACAGAAATCTTCTTGTTAAAAAATATTTTTTGCCGAAAGATATACCATTCGATTTGATTTTTGATGCTGAACTTGATTTTAGTGCCGAGTCTCCTTTCCGAGCATTGATTTTTGCACAAATAGTCGAAGAAGAGCCTAAAATTAATCAATAGGAGGTATTTTTTAAATAAATTAGGATGTGGGTGTGGGTTGAGATAAGATTAACTCCCACACTCACGCCCACACCCACACTCACACCCACACCCACACTCACACCCACACCCACACTCACACCCACACCCACACTCACACCCACACCCACACCCCAGTACTCGTACTCGTACTCGAGAAAGTCTGTACTTGCCCAGCTCTGGATGACATGTTGTCATGGTCGCGAAAGCTTAACAGGCGATAACACGTGGCATGTTTGGTTAATGCATCCGCTGTTACATGCCATAATTAGACCTGTGACAGTTCCCAGTTCTAAGAACTGGGAACTAGGAACCAGCTCCTTTTTTAGAACCGGAGTTGGCCTAAAGAGTGTATCGCTGACGCTCATTTGAGTACTCATGAGCGTCAGCGTTTCTTCTGTATTTCGAATAAGCGAGTCAGCTATAGTTTGGATAGGAAATAGTGTTATTTCGATTATATGAAAGAGGGTCACGAATAACGCCTGATCGGCCGACCAACAATATATTTTATCCCTATAATAGGAGAAAAAATTCGAGTGAAATCTAATTGGTCATCGAACAGCTACTAAGACTTGAGGAAGCTGTCTCTCGGCTATTGTAAGAACAATGCAAACTGTTGGTCGGGTAATATGAAAGAGGATGACTGGCAGCTGCCTGATCCGCCCCAACAGTCGTATGTTGTATCCTGGAAATTGAAGCAAGGCTCCTAGTGAAATCTGATTGATTGCTAGCTTGAGGGTGTGGGTGTCGGTGTGGGTGTGAGTGTGGGAGTTAATCTTATCTCAACCCACACCCACACCCACACCCCACACCCTTAATGGTTTTTTTTGGTAGTTTTTCAGTAGAATAATAACATGTTTAGTAGTTTTCATTGCTATAGCATAATGATGAAGGAAAATAAATATGATATTCAAAATCAGCGTAAAAATTGGATCTAACCATATACGTTTTATCAAACAATTTTTTCTGCCCAACATTCTCCTTCGTAGAACCAGGGCGAATAATTTCTTTTATATGAGCCATTTCAGTTAAGCCACGACCTACGATGTTCAATCGATTTTTCTGAATTTTGATGTCAATTACATATGCTAAAAGCACATCGATTAGTGAGTTTTTCGCCACCAACCGCACCTCGATATTTCAATTCATTATTGAGATATTCAGTTTTTATTATGATATCCCTTTCCTTCTACTAACGATGTCGATTTCACCCCTATCCACTGATAAGCAGGCCATTTCTCGTTAACGCGATACAGAATCATGAAAATTTCAGAATAGATACACAGTGAGTTTTCCTACAAAATAAAACTAATTCCAGCTCTAGATGTTGCTCTATGACTGGGTTATAGGTGTCGTTAGTAGTGGAAATTCGCTCGTCTATATCTTTTGCGTAACCAGCTATCCAAGGCTAAGACATTTATAGTAGGTACTCGAACTATGGAGCTGTGTAATGATAAAAAGAAAACTTTGGGCAATCAACCACAACTGAATATATGGAATTTTTACGAAAATTTCCTGCATTTCGTGCTGGTCTTTACAGATTTTCTTCGTATTTTGGTAGCAAAAACTAAAAACCAACGTCATATTCGGAATCAGCATAAAAAACTGAGTCCAATGTTATACAATTTATAAAAAAAATTCATCAAAAACCTATTCCTATTCGCCCTCAGATCCTTTCAATCAAATTTTTGCTCGTAGTCTTCCTCGGGTGAGTTTTTGATCAAAACGCTTTTTTACGAAATACATACGGTTAAATTCAGTTTTTGATGCTAATTCCGAGCATGATATTCTTTTCGAGGTTTTGTTAAAAAAAATAGGACAAAAATGTGCAAAAACCAGCAGTAAATGCAGTAAATTTTCGTAAAAATTCGATATCTTAGGTTTTATTTGACTTCCCAAAGTGTTCTTTTCATCATTATATAGCCCCACAGTTCTACTATCTATTCTCAATGTTTCAGCCTTAAGAAGCTAGTTACGCAATAGATATTGCTTGATGTACTTTGACCACTAGCGACCCCTGTAACCCAATTATAAAGCGACATCTAGAGCTAGGAGTTATTTCATAGAGCAACTCAATATGTGTCTATCCTGAATTTTTTATTATTCTATACCACATCAATCGAAAATGGAACGCTTCTCAACCGACACTAGTGAAATTGGCACCGTCAATTGAAGGAAAAGAATCTCAGAATAAAAATTGAATATCTCAGTGATGATTTGAGCTACAGAGGTACGGTTGGTTGTAAAAAAACACTAATTGATGCACTTTTGAAATATGTATATGAAATCAAAATTTGAAAAAAATCGATTGAGTAGTCTCCGTAGCAAAAGGTCGTGGCTTAAGTGAAATGGCTCTTAAATGAATATTGAGTTATATTTTAAATATAAACAAAAATTAGATAAAAAAACGAACTGTTAAACAAATTATCGAATATATTTTAGAGTACATGAAATGTGATATTTAAAATAAAAATGTCAGTCGTTTCAAAAAGAAAGTAAATTATTATTTATTTTCGTTAAGGGACGCCGATTGAAAAACTAATGAAACAATTCATAGTGTTTAAAATATGAATTATTGATTACTTTCGTTCTAAGGCGCCTATAATGAAAAATATACAAAGTACCTGGAATGAGATGCTTCCATGTTTCCATATCTATTGAACTGCTTGATAGTTGGATTTTAACGAATTCACTATTTCTATACGATAGTAGGTCAATTTATCTTAGATTGAAAACTCTTTTTATTGTTTTTAATCATAGTACAATGAGTATGCAAAATAATCACACGCGTGTTAATCAAAATATGTTAATATGTTCTTATAAAATAAAGAAGAAATGCAAAGTTAATTCATAGTCGTCCGAATTCGATCACGTTTTTGCCACTTTCGGAGATCACATACAAATTAAGATTCGAGTCCAAGGCAACAGCTACTGGCTTATCAAGCTTAGGTGTTGTACCAGTATTCGAAGCCACTACAATACCAACTGTTGAATTCGCACAAAACATTACTACTCGATCGTTGTCTTTATCGGCAACATACAGATTACCATATGGATCAAAGGTCATGCCTCTTGGTTTGTTAAGAGTTGTTTTAGTAGTATCATTTACTTGATTAAAAGTCGCCGGTGAACTAGCTGTGCCACTTGTCCATGAGTATATTACATCTTTGTCATCTCTAGTTGTATATATGCGGTTTGTTGAAGTTGGCGATATTACAATGTCAATTGTATGATCTATGTCGTTGTCAGTTAGCCAAATAGTACCATTGGTTGCATTTGGAACCCATTTCATTATGCGTTTGTTGCCCTCATCAGCAATATAAATATTAGAATTCGAATCAACAGCAACCGCCTGTGGTTTATTCAAACCGGTCAATGTATTTGCTGCAGTTCCGGTTCCCGCGACAGTGGTACCATTATTAGAATCAGAAGAAAAGCGTTGTACCCGATCATTGTCAGTATCAGGTACATACATATATCCATTTGTGTCAAAAGTAACGTCCTCCGGATGGTTTAATAATATCGAAGTTGAACCCGAATTACTAGTATTACTACCTGCTACTACCACACCATTTGATGAACATTGGTCCCATTTTTCAATGTCATGGCCGTCCTTGTCACATATGTAGATAGAATCATTTGCACCAATAGACAATGCCAATGGTTTCTTAAACCCAGTAGCAACAACCACACCTGTTTGATTCCAACGAAGATCTCTACCTAAAAGAATCAATGACAATACATNGGGGATTGGATACTGCAATCCAAAACTTACTAGACCACAGACGATAACGGAAAAAGTCTTATCCAAAATTTATTATCATAATATTAGTTGAAGTATGATCAAATAGCATAGAAAAATAGAGCATTCTTTTCTCTATCAGGCTTATATAGAAAGAAAGATTTTTAAAGCTTACTATATGGCTAAGTAACGCCGTGATCAGAACTTTTGGTACACCCTAAGTACATATGACTGATTCTGATCTACAGGATGGCCCAAGTTTCACGATGCCTGAAACAATTAAATATCTCTGCTATGGCTTGAGCTAGTGGACTGACTTTTTTAATCAATGATAACCGCATGTTCAAGTAAGATTTGATCTTTTTGTATCTCTAAAGCTTGGATCAATGAAAAACTTTTCTAAAATTAGTAAAGGTTCTTCCGTGCACAACAAGAATCATCGCTCGAAAGTTTATTGTCTATAACCAAGATTAGGATAGTCAAGCAAAAAAGAATAACTAATAATGTATCTTTCATGTTGAAGATGGAACTTGAATCTGGAGCAGCTACGCGTTACATTTTCCACTATGGCTTCTCTCCATAAACCATTTAATTTTACTTTTTTATAAGAAGCAGTAGCGCTATTTTTCATTTTTTTAATTTCAAAAAAGGAAACATTTGACTATCACTACAAAACACTAATCTTAACATAAATTAGAAAAAAAAACAATTTAGAAAGAGTTGTAGAGTATTGTCTCCTTTATCGTCGCTAAAAATTATGTAGGCAATGTTATCCGTGAATGATGATATGATTTTTTTAGGAATAAAAATAGATTTATAACATTGACGAAATTGAGGCATAAATATTAACTTTTTCTACTATGATATAATGTCATTGAATATAAATGAATCATATTAGTTTTAATTAAAAATTTACTGGAATGATATTTTAAAAATTAATATCACCACATATTGAATTGAATCAAAATATATGCCTTCTTTCCTCATCAATATAGATTACAAAGGTGAGTTTTTATTATTAATTCAAATTATCTATTGAATAATTTTGACAAAACATTTTTTATACATGATAACAAATGTAGTTATGCCATTGCCATCATTGGTGTAACCGTTGACAACGTGCCTCTGCACATGCAATGATTAAATATTCATGTCCTTTCATTTTATTTTCTTCATAATGAATTAATGGACTTGGTAATAAATGGAAAGTAATGATATTGAATTTTATAAATGTCATGCGTTTGGCATGTTTTTTTTCCGGTATACGTAGGAGAAAATGTGTCATTGGCAGTGAAATAGTGTTTTCCTTTAATTTTCTCCTCGTCTATTGATAATATATAAAAACGAATTTTCTGCGCAATAAATGGGATAAACTGCGTTCAAAAAGCAAGATGTCTAGGTCAAAATCGCCAACTACTAATGTATTAAAAATTCTTTCATTCATTTAAAGCAAAAAACAAAGTTTCTCTATGTCTTAGGTTTCATCAACGCCTCCATTACTTTTGCTTCCACAAGAAAATGATGTGACATTGACTCCTAATGATGGAAAACCAAAACTAAAGGGAGTAAACGTTCGTCAAAGTCCTCATACGGATCCTTTGACACAAGTTGTCGTTTGCAAACGTTTAGCAAAAATGCCGATGCTCTTTCTTGCAGTAAGAAATAATAAATCTTAATAAATATATTTTCAAAAAAGTCTTCCGGTTCCAATTAGAAACGTCGGCAAATGCGTAAAATAGCACTTGAAAATTCAGCTGAACCGTATACTGACGATAATGCTGGTTTAATGGCAGCATCACCATCATCATCAGGGACATTTGCATTTGAACATGAAGCTAAAACATTTGAAGAATATACGCAAGAAGTTATTATACATTCTTTTTTTGTGAAAGAATTTGATTATTTCTATTAATTTATTTTGCTTTGTTGTTTTTTCAGCTAGAAGAAGCCTTAACAATATTGAGAACAATGAGACGTGAAGAGTATGAAAGTCAAACAGCGCTTAAAGTCTTACGATTTCTTGAAAATCTTATTCATCAACCTAAAGAATGGATTTCAGGAGCAAAATTAAAATTATCTGAAATGAAATTTCCAGGTTTGATGTGTATTCTTTTGTTTTATTTTATTAATTTCAATGTTATTCTTTTTTTTTAATATAGAAACGGCAATGACATTAATGAATAGTTATAAAGAAAAAGGTTATTTAGTACGACGCATTGTCTTTCTTCATAGTATATTACTTTATAATTCAATGACTAATTTTACGGATCATGAATTTGATAAAGAAGGACTTATTAGAAAGGTAAAATTAATTAGATGTTGAAGAAATTATTCAAGTTTTGAGATATACAACATTTAAAATGTAAATTTGTTTTCTTTCAGCAAGCAGCTGATGCTGGTTTTATTGAATTTGCATGTGAAATTCTAAATGATTCATCTTATTTTGAATCACTTAAAAAATGTTACATTATTGACTGTCCAGAAGAAACAACGATGAACAATGACTTTAATAATTATCAGGTTTCATATTCTTTTTCTCTATCCTCTTTTAAAAACTTTTGTCAATTTTAATTAGAAAATTTTATATATTTGTGATTCAGCTCTTACAATTCTCTACAATATGGCAAATTTACCTGAATTAAAAATTCATTTTCGAGAGTGCAATGCAACGAATGTATGTATAATATTAAAGCAAATTATTTCATCAGAATGATACTTTTCAATTGAGAAACTTAATTCATTAGTAGATAAAATTTTAAAGAATAAGTCTATATTTATACATTTCTATTACTTTGAAAACGTAGATCTATATTCATAAGATTTGGAAGTCAAATATATCGGTCTATGAGTGATCAAAAGCATGTATCACATTAACTATTTATTATTCCTTGAGGTTGTAGCAAATATCAAAGTGTTACTAATTTTTACTAAACATCTGGTAGTTACTGATTGCTTACCTTTAGCAAACATAACATATGACATAGAACAGGAAAGCAGAAATCAGTGCTTTACTTGTATGCAGAATTGAAAAATATTACCAGATCATTAAATATCAAAGATAAAAAAATGAGGAAACCATATTTCATTGATACTAATCTTTTCTCGATTACACTGACAGCGACTATTCGTTCCGCTCCAATAACGTGCTCTTACGATAATCTTCAACTTTAGCACCAACAATTATCCTAACTCTCATTTACCCTCAAGATAATTAATTTTTCATTTCTAGTTTCTTAGGTATTTTTAGAATGATAAGATCCAAAGAAATTGATAACTACATCTATATTAGTTCAAATTTGTAGAAATTTTGAAGAATTGAAATTTATAATAATTTTGACTTGACATATAGATTTCGAAATTATTACCAATTGAAGATTTGTCTGTTCAAGTTAGTATTCATCAAATGCAGTCTTAATCTATTAAAATTTAAGCAAGAAACACTATATGAATAAATATGTTTATTCGTTCATAATACTATGTAACTTTTGTTTTAATGGAAGAAAAAAAACAGAATCTTTATCTATTAAAATAATATCCTAGAGAACTGAATGACATGGAATGACCGTTGCTTGAACTTATTCATTACTTTTATCACAACGATCCCTTTTATGTAAGATCTCTTCGATCCGAATTAGAGAATCAATTTTGTTTCTTGAGTTCTAAAAGCGAAAGTTCTCTTTCAGAAGTTATTGATAGTTAATAAAAGTCAAACTGTCTATGTGTATTTAAATACATTCAATACTTGATCATATTGCTCACGAAACGATATTGTCTTATGATAACAATCATTCAAGAGAATATTCCAATCATCCGTCAAGAAAAACAACATGAATAAATCTTGAACAATTAAAGCTATACATGTGAGCATTCTATTATTTTATTCGATTGTTTTAACAGTTTCATTTCGCATGATTTTATTTGTCCTCACTGTGCACAATGACTATACTAAAAGGAAACTTTCAAGGTCAATGTTTTCAAACCTGTGCAAAATAAAACATTAGACAGAATTTCCATTGACAATATAGCATTTTTCTCATCGATTCTTTTTGCTAATTTAACATGATCTCTAACAAGTATCTTGCATACATTGTCTTTCATTTGTTACATATAAAGGAATTCGAGACATACTCAGTTCAATGAGTGTGAAACTCATTGAAAAGAATCACCTCTTTGAATTCGCATCTTAGAGAAAAAAACTCTAGAAACTGATGTATTTCATAGATGCAATGTGAAGATACCTCGTTTTTGTTGAACTACTTACTGACCAGGAAATGTTTTCAACTGAACAATCACTTTTGAATTCGAACTCTGTGCACTAAGTAGATTCCAGTGAGATATGAAAAAACTCTAAGGAATAAATCCTCTGAGGCTTTCTATCCAAAGTTATAAGAACTGTATTTCAACCTGAAATTTTGCCCACAAACAAGTCTGTTTATCAGTAGAATACTCAGAAAATCTCAGCTCAAAAGAATTTTCTTTCCAGAGATATTAAAGTACCAAAAATGACTCATCCTATAGAGCATATGGGCGTGGCTTATTTCATGTTGAGTTCGCCTTTTTTTCGCAGGTATACCAGTTTCTCGTTGTCATAAACCAATTACTGATAAAAGAAATTGAATATGAAAATTACTTGAGAGAGACCCTTATGCTGATTTTTTGCGAAAAAATATTATATGTGGAAAACTAGAAGATTATACACAAGTGAGAAAAAGCGAGACTTCAGTTTTTTGAAGTATGAGTGAAGTACGCGCTCTTGAAGTCTCGCTTTTTCCTCCTTGATTTACGCTAAGTGAGTAGATGTGTATGACAAAGTTAAACATTATGTGAAAGTTACGTGAATTTTGGAGCTGTGATAAAGTGTGCGCACCCACCACACTGAACAGGTCTTTTTGGAAACCCCTCAGTTGAGAAAGAATGCATGGTTTTTCTAATGGGGAAAGTGTTACAGCAAAGATTCCGTTATAGAACGATAGAGTGGGAGCTCTACTTTCAGAATCTGTATGATTTATTCTATAGATCTCTCTTCTTTCTTTGGAATCCTGTAGAAAAAGATACTTTTCTCTAACATGACAGAAATTTAGCCATGTTTTGAGTCTAAGATTTTGTCAATACTTTAAGGAGCTGGAATACATTTTTTTTTCCAAAAAGTCGGCGATTGGCCAAAGTATATTGAACATTAGTCAAATCGTGAAAAATATCACTTTCATTTTTCCATCAAATGCTCAAGTGGTTGCCCACTGTGCGGGAGGCTGAAATTCTAGTACTTCATGCACAGAGTCGAGGTTCAAAAGCGATTAATTAGTTGAAAACGTTCCCTCGTGAATGTTGTCATAATTCTGAATGTTATTGAAAAAACATATCAAACAATCACGCCACTTTCTGTCTATACACTTTCATCAGTAATATAAATCACATCGACTCTTTCTTCTGTCATTACTATAGTACGTTGAACATCTGGATGGTCTGTTTAAGTATTAGTTTCACAAAAGTGTTCAGAGACCTCTTTAGTACGATCATTATTTATCGTTTGTGTCAAATTCGATTAACCATTAATAAAATTGTTTCGATTCGAATGTTTATAGGCATATACATTGTATCTGCACTATCTTTGAATAAAACTTGAAGAAAAATCGAACGAACTTAAAGGAGATTCATGTAAATCCCTTAAACTCTTCAAGCACTATTGACGTTTTTTTTTATCTTGACAGACTTTAAGAATACTTTGTGGAATATCTGGAATTATTTGACTATTCTTTGAACTCGAAATATTCTTATAGATAGTAGCCCAATATACAAAATTATCATCGGATACAATTCGAATTCAATTTCCCGAAACCAGTGTAAATCAAGATTACATAACTAGTATAAAAGAATTACAAGATGTTGTTAGTGCAATTCGTGTAACATCATGTTTATTACTTCCATTAATAATGAATGAAGATGAAGATAATATTTTAGCAGCAAATACATCAGGTAAAATATATAAATATCTATATTAATGATATAATTTAATTAATTTGAATAAAGATGTTCTTCCTTTATTATCTGGAATGATTCAAATGTACAATGGACATGATCAAAGATTTTATGGTTTTTCATTTACTGAATTAGTTGATGGTTTGTCTAAATTAATGGTTCGTGGTCGAACACATAAATATATTGATCAGAGTCTTGTCAATATTTTATTAAATATTCTTAAAAATACAAATCAAGAAGATAGTTTACTTGAATGTGTATCTAATGCAATATTAAATGCATCATTTGATGAAAAAGTTCAAACGTTACTAGATACTGATCGTGCAATAGAAATTATAATATCAGCGCGTAATGATTCTACAAGTCAGCTTGTTCAAAAAAATTGTGAAGCAATTCTTTGGACACTTAATCGAATTCCACATCGACGTAAATAAAATATTGTTGAATTGAATTTATTTCGTATATTTTATCAATAGGAGTTTCAACTATAAGTCAAGCATGTGGATTAGAAGGTCATATCATGATTTCATACAATCGTTCAGTAACAGCTATGTGTTTGAAAATTCGAGATCGATTAAAAGTAAACGATATTTTATTTTGACATTTTCATATTAATATATATTGGCATAAGCTAGGCTTTACACTATAGTGTATGGCTTGATGTCGATAATATAAATGGTGGAGTTTTGGAATCTATGGCTGAAGCTGTTGAAAAATCATCGATTATACTTATTTGTATGAATGAACAATACAAACAAAGTTATTATTGTCGACTCGGTTAGTTATATTTTTTAATCTTATAATTCATAAATTTCTTTGTCTTCTTCTTTTAGAAGCAGGTATGAACTGAAATATTCTTTTTAAAAAATATATTTTCGTCTTTTATCTTAAAAGAATATGCAACAGAGTTAAGAAAACCATGCATTCCATGTCTTATGCAACCAAGATTTCGACCATACGGATGGGTAATTATATAAAAATACGAATTTATCTATTATTCTCGACTTGTTGTGTATTTTAGCTTGGAATAATTAAAGGAGCTAAAATTCATGTTGATTTTGCCACATTACCGTAAGAAAATTTCTTTTTCTTTTTTATGTATATAAAATATTGTTTGAAATAGTTTTGAAGAAGCTTTTTCTACTTTAATTCGTGAAGTTGAAACAATCAAACAAGATGATTTACAAGAAGTTAATAATGGAATTGATAAAAATAATGGCAAAGCTCATCGTCCTCATGGTACCGGATTTTCTACTATTGATGCTATAAATAGTATGATTGGTATGTATTTATTAAGATTATTAAAAAAAATACTTTCATGTAAGCTTTTGTGTTTTTTTTCATAAAGAATCTAAACAAAATAAACCAGTAAAACCAACTGTTCAACAAGAACATATTACTACAAGTTGGGATACAACTTCAGTACAACAATGGCTTGAACGCATTGAATTATCAAAGTATTTTGATTGAATAAGTTTATCAAAGGAAAAACCTTCTATTGTTTTTCTTTAGTTTGGGTCGTGCTTTTACGAATGTTGATGGAAAATTACTTTGGCATCTATATCAAATGAAACAATTAGCTGCTGATGCATATTATAAATTTCTTGATAAATATATCGATCGTGTGCATATAGCACGAATGAGTGATATACTCAAACTTGATCATGAGCTTGAATCTCTTTTTCAATAGAACATTACATCTTTTTTTTCTTATCTCTTTTTCTTTATATATAAATTTTGCTTTTTTTTTTTTCGTTATATATAGATTTTTTTTATAGTTGATTTTAATATATACAACTTATTTCATCCTATTAATAAATATTTAAAAGATATTTATATTAAATTAAAATTGTCATTTTTTTCCATTTCAATAAACTTAAACATACTATTTTAAGAGATAATCGATGTAATAAATCTGAATTTTATGCTAACAAAAGAATTCTATAAGGTGAAGTCTCAAGTGACTTTTATATCAACATTTATTATGATTAAATTATGAATTTATTTCAGAAGACTAATCGAATTTAATATATAGTGTAATCCTATTATGACTTTCTCCAATCAATCGTTTATGTTGATTAAATGATGGTTTAAGAGAACTTTTCAATCAAAACAATTTCTATTATAAATTTATCAGTTTTTGACTCTTCGATATTAATAATTGATGTCAAGAAGAGTTGTTATAGTTCATTAATGTTCGAATTATTAAACATTTGAAAAGCAAATTGATTTTTTTTATCTTTTTAATTATCGCTTACGTCATAATATTTCAGTTCTAATTAAAAATAAAGCAAATATTCTCATACTCGTTAACCTATTATCATATCCATTGATTAAGTATGTCAACGTCGGATGTAGGAGTGATTCTTTGGGGTATTGACAGAAATAGATGTTTTGTTAAAATTACGAGTATTTATAGTGCAGTAAGCTTATTTGTTATTATTACTACATATTTTAATCATTAATATTTATGTTTACTTGATAAAATCATAGGCATATCAGAGCGACATCATTCCTACCTAAGAATCATCAACAGATAAGTTAGGAACCAATCAAGATTTTGTGTCACATTTTTTTTTGTGGTCGACGAGACGAGAAATACTCATCTAGTACTCGCTCGATACTTTTGATCAAGGAATAATATTCTGTTTTCTTTTTATAAGCAAACGCTAATATATACGATAGAGAAAAATAAGAAATCAGACAACGATTATATCTAATAGATTGTATAGTATTTGTCCCTGGGTTTTGATGAAAACGCATCTGATTATCAGTATTGATGAAACATCAAAGTCAATATGAAGAATAAGAATCAATCTGTTAAAATAAGTATTTAAATTAATTACACAAATTGATGCATTTTTCAATTAATGTGGTTAAATCATTCGACTAGTATTTGTTTCTGTGTCAAACTATTTTTATTATTTATCTAGGATGGATGGATTTAGTTGTTGTTGTTTTTTTCTGTCACTTTTTTTTTTCGCTACTTGTCTCTTTCTCGTTCTGTCGCTTGTTGACATCTTTCATTAGCCAAACAAGCAAGAACTATGGATCTTCGGCCCGACTTTTCTTCATTGCCTACGACTATCTTTCATCGATCGTGTGTTTGCATATATGCGTGTATAAGAAAGAAAGAAAGAAAGAAAGGAGTCATATAAATCTCTTGAGATGAGCATTCTTTCCTTTTTTTCTGTCAATACTTGCACAAATGTTCTATTTTTTCCTACTATCAATTGTTTCATTCTTAATAATAGTGATGAATAGTAGCAATAGTTGTTAGGCAATCAATTCTAAAGGAAACAAAATAGTAATTGGCTTAGATTTTTTCTAGCGAGTAAATTTGGCAAGTCGATACTGTCGATTAAATATTTATTTTACCACGAGCAAACTCGTTTAAAATAATAGAAAAGAAATGAAGATAGAAACGTTGATTAACTAGAAAAAAAAGTATCTTTGTTCTTTCCCGTGCACAATATCACCTTGACAAAATGAGCCAATCGAACAGTCGATCAGTTGCTGATTTCTCTGAAATAGTACACAGGACGCAAAGCGCGTGTGGGATAGAAGAAAAAAAAGAACTCATTTACGGTAAGCGACATGAAGTTACCGATCTCTGCACTTTCTTGAACTTGTTTCACAATATTTATTCATCGTTCATAAATGATAGATATTTTTAAATTTCAGATGCTCCTGTGGCAATGCTTAATTTAATCATATAAAAAAAAAATATTCAATGGCCTTGTCAAATCTTGTATATAGTTTCTTTTTATTTTCTATTGTACATTCAAGTAAATCTAATATTATTTTCTTTTCTCATCTTTTTGCATATTTAAATATACGATTTTCTGTTGATTAGCTTCAGTGCCACCGACAATATTAGAAGAATCTGATTCGGATATAATTTTTGATCCACGTATTAATCTTGAATTAACATGCCTAGCAAAAGGTGATCCAACTCCAATTTATAGGTGGATTAAAAATGGACAATTTTATGCAATAAATGCACAAAATAAACATATTTTCATGGCCAATGATTCAGGTACACTTATTTTTACTCAACCAACAGTTATTGATCAAGGATGGTATCAATGTAATGCAACAAATATTTGGGGTAAAAAGAAAACAAACTAGAAATCGTAAAGTTCATTTAAAAATTTTTTTCTTAATTTTTAGGTACTGCAGTATCACGTCGAGTTCGTGTACGTGTTGCAGAACTCGGTGCATTTCCTATTTATGACAGAGCTCAAGTAATTCAAGTAAGACGTGGTGATTCATTACGAATTCCATGTAAACCACCAACTGGTGTACCTGATCCGGAAATTTATTGGACAGATAATGCAAATCTTGGTGATCACTTTGGTTTTCGTGTTGCAAACCCACGTATACAACAAGATTATGATGGTTTGTTTATGTTAATTTTCAAACATTTTTTTACAATTATTGTTCTCTTTTTTTTTTCTTCTTAGGAAATCTTTATTTTCTTAATGTAAAAGATGAAGATGAACAAAAACAATTTATATGTAATGCATTTTCACGTAAATTAAATGTTATTCGTCGTGGTGCATTAACAAAATTACAAGTTATTCCATTAGATCCAATTGATCGTAAACCAATGAAATTATGGTCATCAGAATCATACAAAGTTTTTTTAAAAGGACAAAAATTATCATTAAAATGTATATTTGATGGTTTACCCACACCTGATGTTATATGGAGAAAAATAAACGGCCGTATACCTGAAGGACGTTCTACTATTATGCTAGAGAAACAAGAATTGGTTATAAATGATCTTCAATATGAAGATGCAGGCGTATATGAATGTCGAGGACATAATGGTAAAAAATAATTTTTGTTTTAATTAAAATATTATTAATTTTAATTTAATATTTAAGAATTGGGTTATGATACATTTAGTATTAATGTTCAAATAGAATCTGTTCCATATTGGATAGAAAAACCAAAAGATGTATATGTAATAGAAGGTGAAACAGTTGATGTTACTTGTAATGCAGAAGCTAAGCCAACACCCAAAGCTACTCAATGGTTAATAAATGGCATACCATTACAGGATATCAATGTTTCATACAATCCACGTCGACTCGTTATGAAAAATCGTATAGTCATACAAAATGTAACAAAATCCGACACAGCTGTTTATCAATGTAATGTTTCTAATATACACGGTTATGTTTTTGCAAATTTTTTTATTAATGTTATTTGTAAGTTTTCTTTGAAAATTCATGTCATTACATTATTCATATTAATATTATTGTTCGACTAGCGGAAAAGCCAAAAATTCAACGTGGACCGGATGTACTTTATCGTGTTGTTGAAGGACAAAACATAATTTTGCCATGTGAAATAAGTGGTGTACCAGCGCCTAAGGTCTATTGGCATAAACGTAATCGAATTATTACGGGTGTAAGGTATGTAATTAATTGGCATTTTTCTGTCTTTTATATTATTCAATTCGTATGATATATTAATATCCGTATATAAGTATGTGTGTGATGTCATCTAGCATTTCTATCGGTATGAAAAAACAACAAACGCTTAAATTCTTCTAACAGCATTGTTACTTCCTCTGCTAAGCAAAGTTTTACGATCTTTTATTTATTTATTTTTTATTAAATTTAATTTAATTTTCGACTTCATAGATATTCCATATCGAAAGACGGAAGTTTAACGATTCAAGACGCATCACTATTAGATAGCGGAGTTTACATTTGTAATGCAACAAATAAATTTGGTTCAGATATACGCAATACAACATTAAGTGTTAAACAAAAAACACGTATTCAAACTCGACCAAATAATCAACAAGTACGTCGAGGTTATCAAGCTATATTTCGTTGTACAGCTGTTGCTGATACTTCATTAACATATGATATTGATTGGTATAAAGATGGTAAATTATTGACTTATACAGGTCGTTTTATCAAAGACGTAACAGATCAGAATACATTAAAAATTGTTGATGTACAATTTGATGATGCTGGTTCATACATATGTCGTGCAAGTACAGAATTAGATTTTAGTGAGGCAAGTGCAACATTAGTTGTACAAGATCGACCAAATAGACCAAAAATAACAAAAGTTACTTGTAATGGATCAGCTGATCAACCATTCGCAATTGTTCAATGGCAAGGAACAGGTTGAAAAGAACTCTTTTTAAAAAGAAATTTCATTTTTTATTCAGGTGATAATAACGCACGAATACTCTATTATGAATTACAATATAATACATCATTTCAAACAAACGATTGGATAACTGTACCTATTGAACAACGAAAAGAATCTTTTAATGAAGTTAAATCACCAGATGGTTCTATTAAATTAGAACCTAAAACAACCAGTAACAAATAAATAAATAAAATCTTTGAATAAAGAAAAATTTTTGTTTGTTTTTAGTTTTTAATACAACACATATTCCATCAAATCAAAATGATTTACGTGTATCATTATCATGTTGGGCCAATTATACATTTCGTGTTATTGCTTATAATCGTGTTGGTGCAAGTGATTCAAGTCCTATTTCTGAATCAATGTGTACAACAAAAACATGTCGACCTAAGACAAATCCTATTGGTATTAAAGCTTCGACTACACAATCTATACCATTATTAATCGAATGGGATGTAAGAACAAATTCATTCGCTGATCTTTTTTTTTTTTTGTAAATTGTTACTT